TTTTTTTTTTTGTGTCTGTTACCACTTTTTCTCAGCTCTCACCGAACGGATTTCTTTCAACGATATGTCAAAAGATCACAAATCGTATCTAGTCGAAGATATTACCCTAAAAATTGAAAAAATTTCCCTCGTTCCCTGTAAATGGGGGAAACCTCCAAAAAAATTACAAATTTAAAAATCGCTAATTTTTTCAATTTTTTNTACAAATTTAAAAATCGCTAATTTTTTCAATTTTTTCAATTTTTTTTACTTAAAATTCTATAACTTTTTTAAAATTAACCAAATCAATATAATTTTTTTTTATATAGATGCATGATATCATTACCTTTTAATTGGCATATATTTTTTTTACAAATCTGACCCTTTATCTACCCACTGGGGGGGATTTAAAAAGACAACTTTTTCACAAAAAATTAATTTTTTCAACTTGACTTCTGAAAATGTTCCAGAAAGTCTGACACTTTATATATATCTTAAATTAAAGAAGACAGAAGAAAACGCTATCTTTTCATGATTACTGTGTATACATATTATGATAGTGTGTATACATTACAAACATGGCATTAATACCATGATAAGAAATTAGATAAGGCAATTATTACTTATCACTCTCATTCAAAAGTATATTGAAAAGATATCGTTTTCTTCTGTCCTTTTCTCAATACGTATTTCAATGTTTAATACCGTAAAATAATACATGAAAATTCAAATTTTCACAAACTTCAAAACGCTACAGAATATTTACTACTGAATATTAATAAGATATTTTTTTACTAAAATTTTTCTTAAATTCTACTCTACAAAATAGCTATCTTAGATTTTTTTTTTACATTTTATTTAAAATTTTAAAATAATTAATATTTTTAATAAAATGTAAAAAAATTAATTATTGAGATATAGCTATAGACCTAACGTATAACTATTATTTAAAAAAAAAATCAACTAAAAATATTAACTGGATCAAAAGTTATTTAAGTTGTCAGTGAGTGGTGGGCCACCCTGTATAATATACTCGAATTTGAAAAAAAACATTTGAACTCTGAACTTGTCGTGTGGTAAAAACGGACTTCTAAGTTAAAGAAAAACAATTTTAGTACAAAAATTTGAAAATTAAAAATTTTTGATAAAGTGTATTTATTAATTGTGTCGTACAAAACTTATTTGAAAGTTGTTAGGAGACTAGTATGGTCTGTGTTCCAATGAAGTAGACACCGATTTTTATTATTAGAAAATCAGTAGAGCCGTTTATTGATTTTAAATAACACAAGAAACAAGCGGAGTATGCACAAAATACTTAAACTAAAAACACCAAATGAGTTGCCGAAGTAACGGTTCAATCCTTTTCAGTATTCTGGAAGACCTACGCGTATATTGGTGTCACGAAGATGACTGACTCAACGTACATTTGCGGTGGGTCGTCGACGGACGTGCGGTACTTGCTGAACTTTGCACCGTAGCGTATGGCACGCGGTGTTAGTCAGTCAAATAACCATATACACATAGTTGGACGAAGGCTGATAAAGGTGGCACGGGTCGCGGGGTTCCGTGTGTCAAGAAGCGACGTGGGCCCGTGTCAAAGTGTTTATAAGAAATTAGTGTAATCTGTATTGGTGTATTAAGAAAAGGGTGAATGGGACCGTTTTATTAATTTTAACTTAAATTGAATATAAAGTTAAACTTATTTTAATTTTTTTGCTTCTTTGAAATCGAGAAAATATAACTTTGAAATTTTGAACTAGCCCTAATGGTCCTTTTTATCTACCGACACATGTGACGCATGGTTGTCGCGTCGGTAACACGTATGTCTTTCGTGAACGTGATTTGAGGTTCGGCTGACACACGTCGAAATGTTTTTCTTTTGCATTTTGTTCTAAATTCTTTTTGAGGTGAAAAAAAGTTCAAAATTCGTTTAATTTTTATCTCAAATAAATTGAATTACTTCAATGAAAATCAAAGACTACAGTGATGGACTGCAGTCTACCCTCGCGAGAAGGAATTTCGAATTCATATTAAAATAATATGGCTATGTGGTTTTTTATTATTTGTCTACCATTAATTTTTCTCAGCTCTCATTTGACCAATTTTTTTCATAAATACGTCAAATGATTACAACTAGTATCTTGTTAAAGATATTACACACAAAAATTAAAAAAAAATCCACTTTATTAAAAAAAAAATTACTTAGCCCACATTCTCCAAATAGACAATTAAAATAATTAATTTCTATTATTTTTAAACTATTTATTGTCGAATTAGGTTTGATATGATGATCTGTTTCAACTAAAAAAATTAATATTTATTATTTAATTTTCTAAAACTTTGTTAACTTTTAAGTACCGTTTTGAAGATAGACTAAATTAATTCTTTTATTTTTATTATTAAAGTTATACATAAAAATCATTAATCCAATAATTATTTAAATTATTATTAATTTGAATAATTATTAATTATTTAAAGCTGAAAAATAAACGATTTTTTGTAAAAAAATGTATACATTATTTTTACTGATTGTAATAAGTAACGATATGGCTTTCGACAAGTAGTCATTATAGGTTTTTTTTCTGGATAAGAAATTTGAGTTTTATCATTTTTGTAAAAAGATTTAATTGTAGAAAACTCATTGGGAGCTTTTGATTAATATTGTCGATACTTCATTTTTCTAAAAAGTTATTTTCCAATAATGATTATTGTCATCGTTTTTTGGTCAATGGTGAATAACGCTATTAAATGAAAGTGTTTATTGTTCCTCTGTTAATGATATGTTTATAATTATTTTCAAATTATCTTTATTTTTAATGAATATGTCAAAACGTCAATTCAAATAAATGAGAAAAATCAAAAACATTCATGTTACTTTAGGGAAAACTCAAGTTTTGACTTACTGTATTATATTTAATAATCAAGAAATCATCATAATGTTATTTCTGAACTAATTTAATAAACAAATGAGTCGTACGTTTTTTATTTCGTTACAAACTATTTGGATAACAAATACAATTAATCTATTATTAACCTATTAGTATTCTAATAGTCATTGTGCTGCAAGGGAAGTCTTTAAATTTATGATGAAATTTGAATTAGTTGTTTGAGCTTTCCGAACAATTTAAAGGTCATATAAATGATCAAAATTTCGATGTTTATAAGCGATTACGTATGAAAGTGTAAAATACACTGTAAAACATACAAAAACGATGGTTTGCTATTGATTTTTAATTTGAATAATTTTTATTTTTTCCTATTGTGTTTTTATATTGTTTTATTTAGTAAAAAAAAACAAAGGTACTAAAATTGTCATTGAATTATAGTCTCGTTTTATTAAAATAAAAGATAAAATAACCATAAAAAATACTTAATTTTTTATACGTTTTTAAATAATACATTTGTCATTTTATTATTTTCATAAAGGTACAGAACAAAAGTATAACTTAACTTTGATAATTTGTTTACTCTATCTAAAATTATACTTGGGTTATAACGATTTTTAATCATTTAAAAAGCTTTATATATTATACGTTATCTTTCTTACATAACAATTAATGATTAAATGAATAATACAATTTCTTTTACCAAGAGCGTTATGACATGATATCATATCTGTGTATCTGTATACTTAAACAATAATTAATCTAGGTTGTTTTATTCATTATAAATGGGCGCTATAACATCACTACTATGAAGTTGAATTTAAATAGTTTAATTAATATTATAAAGGCAAATTGTCATAATTATTTAATAAACTTCGGGTATTTCATATAAATTGATATCGGAGGAAGTACTTATTTTACATTTAAATGTATTATTTACGGCAATTAAAAAATATGTATATAAATAATATGAATTTTTTTTCTAAAACGTACAAAAATTGAATAAGGAATCATAATTCGACAAGATGTCATTTATAAGCATGAAAAAAATTCATCAGTTGACTTACTAGCGTCGGCTATGCACGACAACGTGCAAATGAGTGCGACAAAAAACGACGTGATCCCGTTTGCTGAGAGCATTTCATAATCAGTCGGCTACGTGACACACTTGGTCCCAAAGTCTTTGGCAGAGTCGATAGCTACGTTACTGACTGACCCAGCGTGCTCGCCGGTGGGTCATGGCGTGACTGCTGTACTCAAATAGTCTCACGACATGGCACGAAACCGCCGGGGTGCGCCACGTCCGCCCTTTCGAATCCCTTGTGCCATCACACATACAAGCTCGTCGTGTACACAAACAGCCGAAGAAAATACGACTCAACAGTTAATAAGTAAAACGTACACACGCACCACGCCATGTGCGGTGGAAGCTGCCACGCTGAACTGTTGATCAATAAAAACCTGACAGCAGTGGTATACCGGTCTATGGAAATACATAAATTCGTAGTGTCGAACGCCGGGCGACCATAAAAAGTTTGTTGGCAACCGACTGTGTTTGACTGACGAAACGTTTCTGTCAAGCATCGTTAAAATGTTAAGTTTGTCACTGCTGGGTGGTCTGCTTATTGATTAGTTCCTAGATTGAATTTTTGCATAACCGAATCTTAGACTTCATCCTCCTACAAGTCATTTGACTGCCGTCGACACATACAATTTATGCATAAAACGACAGAGTATGATTTTTGGTTTGACGCAATACATATGATTGTTACAAAAAAGGTTAACTTTGAAAAATTACTCGCCATGTTAAATTAAGTCGTGTATCTTAAATTATCTACTTTGTTTCATTTCAGTTTTCCAACTCTCAAACTCACATAATTGATTTTTTTCTGTTTGCGGCTTCATTGTTTTCACGCTTATTTCGCCTTCGGATATGCAACATCTATGTATAAGTATCATACCGAAACGCTACACTTAACAACGTGTACCGTTAGTAAAATATATTGTCATTATTGTAATTAAACAATATTTAAACTTAAGTAATTAGACATTTAAAATTGTACGATTAGAAAAACTATTGTATATCTTGTACGCTGGTTATGAATAAAAAGTCATTTTGCCTATATCACTGGGGTTTAAAAACAAGAAAAATACCATTTTTGATATGAAATTTTTTTAAACTTATTATAAATAAATGTTAGTTTTGAATTTTTTTGTGATACGTGATAGTAGTATAGTGGGTTATATAATTATATGACCATAAAAACAACAATATTCAACAACTATATTTTGAAAGGGAGTGTTTACTAAATTGCTAATGAACACACTTTGAATTTCAAATTATTATGAATATCGCTAAATTTATTATTATCATACATATACTAAATTATATTTACATAAAGACAATACGTTGATTATTTTATTTCTAATACACACGAATACAAAAAACTTTATTCAGCTGTATTATTTTAAAAGCGTTACTATCCTATATGCATCTTCTTATTATGCTAAATACGAATCAAATTCTAGTTAAATTATTATAAAAAATTATTTTTACTTTTATAAATCTACCATTTAAATTTATGAACTAAACATTGTCATTTATTAAAATAAAATTAATTTGATTTGGGATTTGTAAGTAATAATTCGATTGGCTCTTAAAAAAAACATAAAACTTTTATTTTTATAGAAGAGGTATAGACTAACAAAGCCATAATAAAAAAATTTCACAAGATATAAAATATAGTTCAATAAATACGAGCATTTTTACTATTATTTTAAGAAATAAAGTTAGAAAAATATTGTTACATTTTTATACATTTTATGTTAGAATAACATTAAACTGCATAGTAATTTTTACGTTTTCTTAATCTATTGCATTTATACAGTTTTTAATTGTTTGGCATGTACCTAACATGTATTAATATAAGCAGCATGTATTAATTTTTGGGATGTCGGAAAGTATTCCTAATAAAGATAGGGCGTATATATATTTTATAAAATTAGGCATTGTTGAATCCAGGTGTATTTTAGGAGGCTCCCCGACATTTAATATTTTTGAAATTTTTAGCGATGTTTAGTCAATTTTTAAGCTTTTTTTTTTGCTTATCAACTTTTATTTTTAGCAATTTTCTGAAACTTTTACCAAAAAATTATTTTTTGTTTGCCAGTTTCTATAGATAAAATATCTAGTTGAATAATGATATTTGTTTTCACTCTCTTTGTGTTTTAGAAATTGAATATTTTATTTTCGTTTTAAACATCAACTATATCATATAATAAAAATTAATCACTTAAAGCCAACATCATTTAATATTAAAATTATACTGAAAATATTTAATTAAAAAAGCCTTGAAAATTATTAAATAATCGTGGGTACGTATTTCTAAAACAATATTACCATTATCAACGCTAAACACATACTATCAGTATATGTAAATTTTGGTTGGTACACTTCTTTAATTCTAGACCCTCGATATTATACATATACATATACGTAACTCGTATGTTGTATATGTATAATGTGTTTATGAATTTTTTAAATTATCGCATACATACGTAAAATGGTGAAGTGAAGCTTCTAAGATTATTTGACTCTGAGAATGGAGTTAAAAACTGAATTTTGCATGAAAATTACATCAATATCTAACCTAGCAATACATTTTTTTTTAATCGTCTTTTTAATCTCTAAGAGGAGAAATATAAGATTTACGTAAACATACCGGCAGTAAACTTTAGGAGAAATATGCCTAATTTTTTATTCATAGGAGCAAATAACGATGTGGTTTGGCTACTTAGCACTCCCTGTGATAACATTAACACCCCTAAGCAGATTTTATATTATTGTATAAATAATATTTAATATTATGAGTATGCAATATCATCGGTGTATTTCATTTAAAACATAGTAAGATGTTTTGGTTTCAACACAGAAAAAAATGTACGCTTAATACAGTGACAAATCTAACAAAAACAGTTAGAATAACTAAATAAATGATTGAGTAAATCAAATATTTGATTATTCTGTTTCAATTGCAGTTTTTACTTTATTAACCGTTTTTATAGTTATTTTAACTGTATTTTTTTTCCATGAATAATTATTGTTAAAATACTTTTTATTTGTTAAAACAAAAATGTAAGTGTATAATATTGTACATAATTGTATAATGAGTAACTATACATGGTTTCTTATCCTATCATATGGAAGCATTAAATTTCTAACTTGAAGTAACAATAAATATAAACAAATTAAAAATATATTTTTTTTTATAAAGGCAAGAAGAGAAAATAAGTAAGGGCATTAGGCCCTTTTACTTGTTTTTAATAGTAATAGATAAAATCAGCAGAGAAATACAAGGAGGTGCCGTTGTGCATGTTGTTCGCTGACGATAAAGTGTTAATAAGAGAGTAGAGATCAGTGACAATAAGCGAGGACGTGATAGGTAAGGTGGCAAGTTCTTAAATCGATGAGTGGAGTAATTAAAGAAGATAGGATAAGGAACAAACATATAAGGAGTATAGGTGTAGCATTAATCATGGATAAGATGAAAGAAAATAGATTCAAATGGTTTGTCTATGTTATAAGAAGAGAGGAGTCGAAAGTTAAGTAAAGTAAAAACAGTCATAGAAATGAATGTTGAAGGAAAAAGAGGTAGAGAAAGGCCAGTAGAAATGGAGGGATGTTATTGAATTCCATATGAAGACAGCTGATGTGAGGGTAGATGGTGTCAAGTGGAAGTTTAGGATAAGGATAGTCGACCCCAAGTAGTTGGGATTAAGGCGAGGAAAAAGAAAGAAAGTATACAAATTGACAAGCCTTGTATTTTGATTTCAAAATACTTAGCGACATTTAAAATTAATTAGCGTCTTTTTTCAATAATTTTCTTACACACTTCTAAATTTTCATAAAAAAAAATAATTAAGTTTTTAAACCCAAAAATGTTAATAAATATTGCTCTAGTAGTACCATCAGCAATACTTTAATAAAACATGTAAGAAAAAAAAAATTTTTTTTACTATAGTGTTATTTGATAGACAATTATTAACTAAGCTACTTAGGGTCAAAAATTACTACTATAATAATAATCTGCATAAATCATGATAAATGTTGTTTAAAACATTTAATATGGTAAAAGGCTTTAAAAACATGAATATTTATTTATAAAAAATATAAAAGAAATACAAAGTGCATTTAATGCAATGGTCAATAAACAAAAATTTGTTTAACAATTAATTATTCTCTTGTAGTATTTACTTAGTGTTCCTGAAATGTATTACTATTTTGGCCAAACATTCTTTTCTATCCACGATATATATTTAGAAACTTTAGTATAAACCCCAGGTGCATCTTTTTCACCACATAATTTTCCAAATGATGTTATTCCTATTTGAGTGTACATACATGAATAGTTAGTGTTTTTAATTTGAATAGGCCCTCCAGAATCACCCTAAATTTAATAGAATATTTTAATAATACATTATTACACTTAATTTAATGTTAATTAGCAATTATTGTAAAAGAGCTTACTCCACAAGTATCTTTTCCACCTTCAGCATGGCCAGCACAAATTTGACTTTCATTTAATATTCCAAATGCTAGTTGTCTTCCAACACTAGAGGAATAACTAATATTGCATTGATTTATTGGTATACTATCTAATACTACTTTTAACAAATGAGAACTGGACGGTCCCCCTATAATTATTATACATGAATTATTTTTTAAATAACAATTAAAGATAATTTTTAAAATATACAAACCACTTTGTATTTGGCCCCAGCCAGAAGCTACTGCTTTTTGAGGCTTAAGATTTTGATCAATATTTAAGCAAATAGGTCTCACATAAGCTGAAAATTCAACAATTCTATCTAACTTGAATAAAGCTATATCATTATAGAGAGAAGGAGGTTGATAGTTGGGATGAATAATACGTTGAATTATTTCATAATTGCTAGGTTTGGCATCATCATTATTATCTTCAATATCTAAATCTCCTAGACGTATCCAATGGGCAAACAATTGCCTATAAATTACAATAAATTTTATTATTTAAAATAAATCATTTGTCAGGGAAAACTACATACTTGCTAATTTTTTCACAATGAGCAGCAGACAAAACCCAAATATTACTAATTAATGAACCTCCGCAAGCCCACCTGACTTGTTCAATTTTATCACCATAGCCTACTAGAGCCTGTAGAATTATTAGACATCCTTAACTTTATTATAAAAAATTTAAATAAAAGTAAATTATTTCAATAAAATAAAATAATAAAGTAATTCAATTAATAAGAAACATTATTAATTTATATTTATGTTGTAATTATTACCATATGTGGGAATTCTTTACCGTCAGCTTTAGTACCGCCAACAATTAATTTTGTTACTTCACGACAATTAAGTACTTTAATGTAATTATTACTTGATGGTTTTAAAGTTGGTTTTTTTACATATGAATAGATCAATTCTGAATATTGATGACACACTAAAACATTAATTATTATACAGTTATATGTACACAATTATGAATACTTTTTTAACTATATATTCACTCTCAGTAGCAGAATATGTTTGTACATTAGACTGATTATTAAAAGGATTTTCCGTTGGTTTTGCTTCATAGCTCTGTGGTGGACAACAAATTACTGGATGTGATCTATCAAATGAACATAATTTTGGAATAATATGTTGTCTGATTTGTTGTCTACCCTCAGGACAATTATCTAAACGTTTACAGTACGAATTGGAAGCCTCTCCATTTTCCCCTTTTAGACATATCTCGCCTGAATATAACAATTGAAATTTAAAACACTTAAAAATATACATAAATGCAAAAATAAATTATTAAATATACCACATATTTTGTGTTATTGTTAAAAAAAAATGAATAGTTTAGATATGATTTTAAAAGAAGAAGAAATTGGGTAAGAAATAATTAATTAAAATATGTAAGTATTCTAAATTTAATACACTAAGTTATTACCTGCGTTCAAATTAAGTGAAGAATCTTGTCCTAAAGTAGATGAATAAAAAAAATTTAACACTAGAATTATAAAAAGTATTATTGATTTCGACATTGTTTATTACAAATATTAGTCACTCGATGATTGGAAGTACAGTATTCGAAAATGGTTTATATGCTACTATAGATTACAAGACATTCCTGAACACACGTAACATACAGATTAACGTTCATAATTAATACTGTAGAATTCAATACCACTACATTCATTAATAAACAAGAATTTAAAAAATTAAGGAATACACATTTATTAAAGTACCCCCACTATCTAGTGATCACTATAGTTTCCTTGTTCTAATGATAACTGCGGCTTATAACTTTTTGTTACCTGTAATTTCATCAAGGTTGTATATTTAAATTGATCTTAAAATATTAAGTTACTAACTAAAATTACTCATTGAAATGTAATATAGTTAAAATTTCATTAATAATATTTAATTTAGTATCTGAAATCAGATTTACTAATTATGAACAAAGAAATTATTTATTTCTTTTAGACTTGTGATTATGATTTATAATTAGAAATATAACGATGTGAAAAATAATTATTAATTAAACAAAATTCAGACGTAGTTGTTGATAAAAATATTAAAACAAATAGAAAAATTCCGTTTTTATGAAAAAATTATAAACAAAAAAAAAAATGATTATTTAGTCATAATTTATGAAGGTAAATTTTCAGAAAGATTTGCGTTTACAATTTACTGGGTTTCAGAAATCAGATCCAAAGGATCAACTGCTCTGGAAATTGAAGACTTATGAATGAAATATTTTTCTAATTACCCTATAAAACCACCAATAGTTATATTAATTTAAATAAATGGTTTTATTATTGTATAATTTCCAAATAATACGTACGTTATAAAACGTGCATATTATAAAACATGTATGAAACGTTATTAAACATGAATTAAATAAAAAAACTTTTCTTATTACACCAAAATTTGTAACTTTAGTAAGTAATTTGACATAAGTATTTATTTAAAATATAGCAAACTGTATCAAAACATAATACTAGCAGACAAAAAATCATTACTTAAACTATATAGTTTAAGTATATTAAAATAATAAAAAATTCTATTTCAATGTATATTTAAAAATATGTAGTTGACACGTTCACGACAGTTTTCATACTACTTTTTTGGTTTTCTAAAATAATAGATCGATTGTGAAAAGAAAGCATTGGAGTAAGGTAATTATTATTCATTTTTTATAATTATTTAAAATAAATCACAATACGGATCAATTATTTAGATAAAATATCCATATTTTAAGATGATTTTCTATTAAATTTGCAAGAAACTAAATATACATTGGATACAACAGATTGCGCCAAATGGACAGGACCACTACTAGGGGTAGTGGACGCATGTGTCCCGGGCAAAACTAAAATTTGAAGTAATATAATTTAGTTGAAGACTTTTTCTTTTGCTCATTTAAATAACAAATAACAGAGAAAAATTATTTTGATGAGCAAAATAAAAAGGTCATTGGGGGCGACAGAATTGAGTACATCGAGCGGTACAATATCTAAATATGAAATTATCAATCTAAAAATCTATCTCGTATTTTACTTATGGATAGATTCCCCAAGTATAATTGAAAAACCCAACTATACTTAAGCATTCCACATTAATAAAATTTTGAATAAACGTAATCAGAAACTCAGACTTGTGGGGACTTCTTCTTTTTCCTCGCATTGAATCTAGCTACTTAGGGTCGGCCACCCTTATCCTAAATTTCCACTTGAGACGATCATCTACATCATCTACGCTTACATTAGCCGTCCTCATATCACATTCAATAACATTCCTCCATCTCTTTTTTGGTCTTCCTCTACCTTTTCTTCCTTCAATATTTATTTTTATACTTGTGGAGACTATGATGATGTTTCAAAAAAATAGTTGAAATATTAATATTTCACAATCAATTTATTAATCAATAGTAATAATAATAATAATAATAATAATAATAATAATAATTATTATTATTGATTAAACTAAACTCCACATAAATTATAAACGCAAATAATGGGGTGCTACACTTAAAGATATTCTGATATTTTAAAAATACATTTGAATATTCAAAAAATAGGTATATTTTATATCTATAATTATTGATTAAAGATAGCAACAGTCGGAAAATTTATATAATAGTTAAAGACCTTTTTCTTTACCATGACACTTTTGTGGTAGAAATAAGTTGGTAAATGTGTGAATGATTGTTCTTCCTTCTCCAAATGAATATTGAGTTCTATACCTGTATGTATATCTAGAGTTATCATCTTTTTACGTCATATTTTCAATAACCAAGAAAAAGATAGAATAATGATTAATTGAAAAAAAATAAATAGTTAATGATGTATCAATACATTTTTCTGATTATTACTTAATTATTGTAGTTAGTGTGTGAAAACTACCCTTACCTGTTATCCTTTAATATAAGATAATGATCTACAATGTATAGAGGATACATGAGTTACTTCTTCAATGTAAGTGGTTAATAAAAGATTATAAATTTAAAATAAATAATTAAAAGTTACATAAGTACAAATATTCTAAGCTAAGTTATAAATTAATATTAATAGTGAGACACTAAATCATAAGTTAAGAGTTGGAGTACTGCCTAAAGATAAACTGTAAAAAAAAAAAAACTAAAAGAGCTAAGTTTAACACTTAGTGTAAACACGAGAAGAAAAACAGTCGGACAGTGGAGCCTAATGGTTGGTGACAGAGCAGGGCCTAGATGGTTCTTGAAAAGTTTATAGTAAATCATGGGATACAGTAATACAATTTAATACTATAATAAAAAAATACTTAATTTAAAAGAGTGTCCTTCACAACACTTTGCAAGGAGCGCTTGGTATAGTATCTTTATTTGTTTAGAATATTTTTATGATGAGCAATAATCTAGATTTCGTGTGAAATTGTGCGATCTCGTTTATTGCATGTCCTGTCAGGATATTGAAAAATGTATTGATTTTTTTTTAAATTCTATATAATAATATTATAAATTATAATGTGACGTAAAACCTTCTAGATTGAGTTACATATTTTTATATTACTTAACTTAAAAGTGGACAACCCTTAATAAATGAGTATAAAATTATATCAACGAGTTATGATATTATTATATAAATAATATTGTATTGAAGGTCATTTGACTTCTTAGTATTACCATAGATTAAATACACATAGATAGACCACGCCGTACACAATTTTGGCAGTCCAATTTTTATCATGAATGGACGCAGGGAAACGATGTGCTGGACGCAGGCGATTATGCTGATAGATAGCGTAAATTTTGAGTGCTTCTATTGGTTAAAATATACGTGGTATTTTAAATCTTTAATAATTATTAAATGAATGTATGATGCACATAATTAAACTGTTATTGTTATGCACGTTAATTGCATTTTATGACATAATGTAAGGTTATTTATGATTTTAACTCTTTGTAATTATTTTTCATTGAAATATTATTTAATTTTTTATTTTAATACTATACTAAGAATCCTTAACAGAACTTTGATATAAAATGTGGTATTACAGTACAAGACTAAACTGTTGGTCTCTAAATATTTTTATAAATTATTTTAAACAGAAAGCAGTGCAGATAAATAACTTTGTAATTAGGATGAGTTGAAAAATCTTTATGATAAAAATCATAATGTGAGCTGTGCCCCAATATCACAAAGCTTTTATATTATACTTATTTTGTATTTGTATTACTATATTAAGATATATAATAATCACATCTAATAGTCCACAATAATAAAATATATTATTATTATGGACTATTAGATGTGCATAAATGGCTTTCTTTTTATTAAGTCCGCTTCAAATATTTCATTTATTTTAGAATAGTAATATTAAATTTACCTACGTATGCGGTAATCAATTGAAACCAAATTTTTCAGGGATGCCAAATAATAAGTGGTAAACTGGGTGTTCGAAGTCCAATTTGACAACGCGGATAAGTGTTGTCAGGAAGAGTCAAAGTAATAACTAATTATAATATAACATTCACTGATAGAACACTGACCACTGAGAAGATGGTCAAGGCTCCTTTTATATTTACATTTTTCATTAAATAATCATTAAAATATTAATACTATAATACTTTATAGTAATTATAATGTTGCATATAAATTGCTTAAAACTAAAATTTACAAAATAATTATGGGTTCACGACACCATCGCCCTTAAAGAGAAATAATATCTAAAATATTATTTCAAAAATTTTAATACATAACACATTTGAGTCACAATAGGATACACAGCAAACTGATATATGTTAATACAAAACAATAATACATAGAATAAATAATTTATAGTGTTTTCATACATATAAACATGTAACATATTTTAAATAACATAAATACATAAAATAACCTATTTTGAAATCATGTATTATAAATTCTAAACATTCTGAAATTATGAAAAATATAAAATTTTAAAATTTGTTAAAATAAGATATCTGATACTTTGCTTTTAATTTAATTTTTACTTAAAATTATGTTTCTAATCTAATTAATTTAACAAGCCAGTAATACGATACTCAAACATGATTTTGCATGTTTATACATTTTTTTTTTAAATAATAAGCACTATTTTTGTATCTAGCTTTTCTGAAAGGTGTAATTTCATTTTATTCATAAATATAACTTTATAATTTTTTACGAATACATTTATTATGTATCATTTTTTCCACTTAACATAGCATATAGTTAAGATAGCATAATGACTCAAATAAGTATTAACTTATTGGTTCATTCTTTTTTGTAGGTATTGAGTAAATTCTATACTAGTGCCTTTTTAAAAAATATCGTTAATAAATATTTCTGACATGGTAAAAATAATTCAGATTATTTAATCTTTCATATAACTCTTTTTTTGAACAATTAATTTATAATTTTTATGAAAATAACAAAAAAAGAGTATAAAACAAATCAAAAAAATATTTATTAACAGACAAAACATAATATATATATATTCCTTTATAAAATTTAGAATTCTAGACGAGTTCCATAGACTATTTGACTTTTCAATGCTACCTTGTTTTAAAAGATTTTTTAATTGTTTATCAACTTCCTCGTTATGACACATAGGGTATCAATTGTTTTATATTAATTGGATGAGCATTAGGAGTAATTATTTTATGTACAATTTGATTAGTATAAGATAATTTATCATCGGATAAAATTAATATATCATTAAATTGATTGTATAAATTATTAATAAACGACTTTTCTTTGCCGTTTAAATGATTTAATTTAAGGTTTTGATTTAAAAGAGTTAATCTATTATTATTATAAGTATTAACATTATTACAATTGATAGTATTTACATATTATTTATGAGAACGAAATCTTGTTGTAAAAAATCAAATTTAATATTATTAATAAAAATCGAAACATCTTTTTCTGATGTGTTTAAAATCGGTATGATTGCATAATTATCTTTGATTTATGTTATACAACTTCCAATAAAAACATTTTCTTAATTACTATAAGATCATATATATAGCTAGAGATATAATTCCAGTTGTATAATTAGTATGGGTCATTTTTACTTTAATGATAGATTCTGACAAGCCTAATTTCATGAATTCATGTGACCCTACAAACTTAACACGATTAAAAATAAAATTTAACACTTTTTGAGAGATCGTAAAACAATTGTACTATAGACCACGTAAAAGAGTACGATTTAATAATACGATATCTCGGCGCCAGGATTATATTTGGAATTGCATTAAAAACAGGATGTATTAGCTATGTTTACATCTTATTGTAACACGAATTATCATGCCTATTTTGTATTTTTGTGTTGTTTTTAAAACCTATGAATGTAAAAATATCCAACTAGATAAAAAATCTTCCCTATTTCATAATCACTATTCATATTTTCACTTGAGTACTGAAGACTAAGGTCCCTTTTGCGTGGTTTTACCATTTAATATATTTATTTGTATTATTATCTGTATAATTATAATTATAACAATGAGTACACAACATGAAAATAAGTGTATTTTTTTTAATTGCGGTAAAAACATATCTTAACTTCTTATTTTATCATTTTTAGTGATCTGAACTTCGGTTAAAATTGCTTTATTTGTTTGAATATTTTTTTCTAAAATATTTGTTTTTAAAATTTTTATATTTTAAACTATATTTTATATTTTAATTTATATATTATTAAAATTTGTTTTTTTTTAATATTTCATTGTATATTTGAAAAAATAAATTACTAATTTTATACATGAAAACCTTATAATATGTGTAATTATTAATAAATATCTTTATTAGACTTGATTACTGGTAAGTTAAGAAATTAAACACAAAATAATATAAAAATCTTGACAGTGGACAAATCGGTAGCGAGAAATTGTTATGTAATAAGTTAAGATTTTCAACACTAAGAGAAAATTAAAAAAAATAAATAATATTTAAATTTAAATCAATATTAATAAAATAAAAAACACATATTTTATCGAATTCGTATTTAAAACGAAAAGTTTCATTTAAATCAAATAAGCAATCGCCTTTTAGTATTAACTGGTTCTTATCTTAATTTGCGCTAACGATGTTAGCCGTACATCAATAATCGTGTCTATTATTTGAATATCAGCAAACTGGACAGTTATTATTAAATATTTAATATTTCCGATAGGATATATCTACGGGTATAAATTAACAAAAAATCGGTTGCCAATTGTCTGAATGCCGTGGCCTATCTATGTGTATTTAATCTATGATATTACAACTAATTTAATAGTTAATAGGAGCTGTGTATTAATATTATAGATCAAAAATCAGCTGTTTTACAAGGTACAGCTGCCATTCCTAAACAAAGATAGTATTTTTTCTTATCTCAGTTACGAGTAATGTATTATTTGTAAACACTACACAAATCGCGTTTACAGAACAAGATTTTACATTTTTTCTTGATTTTATAAAAATTACAAATGGATTTTGAAGAATCATTTATGAATGCTCAAGATTTTGATGGTCTTGTACAAGTAGTACGTATTGTGTCACTCCGCCGTTAATTCTTGAACTGTATTTAAGTTTATTTTTAGTAAAAACGTAAAAAAAATGTATGTTTTATTAGGAACAAGCTCAAGAAATGAAAGAAGGTACCACTCCACCAACAGTAACTAACAAACGTGGTCGAAAGCCTGGCAAGAAATCTAGTGACAAAGTTGATATAAAAGCTAAATTAGGTTTGTGACATAATATCATTTTTGGAAAATATATAAAAGCTCTTTGTTGATAGAACGTAGCAGACAAAGTGCTCGTGAGTGTCGAGCTAGAAAAAAGCTACGCTACCAATACTTAGAAGAATTGGTTACTGATCGTGAAAAAGCTGTTTTTTCATTAAGACAAGAACTTGATAAGGTAAATAATGTTGAGATCTATCATCATTAATTCTTATATATCACTTAAACAGTGATTGGATTTTAGTATCGTTTATGGTGTCTTGAAATAGATGAAGGAAGAATTCCTGAAGGATTACCAGGGTTGTTGGAGGAATTTGGAGCCGTCAAACAGGAGTCGGTTAATATTCTTAATATGTGATTATTTGTTTTTATTTTATTATTATATGTGCCATTTTCCTTCTGCATCTATTTGTTTTACAAAGATAATTTTTTTATTACTATATAACTTTGTATTTAAGAAACATTTTTGATTATAATTATTAAAAATTGTACACAATTGTTGAAATTTCTGACATTTGTGTAACTAATGACTGTTTCATGCTCATGGAGTTATCATATATTGATCATGGAGTAAACAACTAAATTGTTTTTTTCCAAGATTTTTTATTTTTTTGGTTAGGTTAATAATATTAGTTATACTTTGTGTTTATTTTTGATAATTTAAAAATTTATTGATATAAATTTGTGTAAGTTACCCTATTGTATGTTTAGAGAAAAATATTACATTTCTCAAAGTTATTTTAATAAAAGTCATTTATTTATACATTTGTATAGTTATTTGTTATTTTTGATATGACTTAATATTAATATTATTCATCATGAATAGTATGAATAGAATATTTCGACCAACAAAGCCTATTTCTAAATATGTCACTTATAAACCGAATGAATTTATGTCTAATAGTCAAAAAGTAAGTTGATATTGCATCTTTTGTATAATTTTCTTTAATATTGTCAATATTTTTAGTTGATGATAGAACTTGGGCTTATCAGACAGAGTGCAAATGGATTATTTCATTTCTTACCATTTGCTCAACGGTCCTTAGAAAAATTAACTTCAATAATTAATAAAAGTATGGTTGGTATAGGAGCTCAGAAAATCTCTATGCCTGTCCTAGTGAAGTGTGATTTGTGGAAAAAAACTGGTTAGTTTGTTATCTATTTTATTGTAGAATCTTATTTACGCATATACTGTTAGATATATTTTAACCCTAAATAATTTAAATGTTGGCTAGATTTAGATAAAAAGGAAAACACATGTATTGAAAATCATAAACTGAACATTAGCTATTTTTTACAGTAAAATTTGATAGATTTATGAGCCCTTTATTAAACAATTGTCACATTAATTAATTTATTCAATATATTTCTTAAATTTTTATTCCAATTTTTTTTTAAAATATGTATTAGCTTAAAATATATTGTTTTCTTTTATTTCCAAAATGTGTATGGTAAAAATAACTTTTAAGTATCCGAAACAAGTATTTTCCTAATTAATTTGTATAATTAAAGTTTAACTTTAGCAATTATAATTAAATTTATTATAAGCTTGTGACTGGTTGTTCACTTATGAAATAATGTAATCTATAGCCAGTGCTGCAACTACTAAGTGGGGGTCATCTGCAAATGTTCTTCTGCCTCTATTTTCACCAGTCTCAGGGCCCATATACTCTGCATACCCAGCACATTAGTTTTTGTGGCAATGGCTATATAGCTCTGCTGTCCTGAAGTAATATCTAACAGCAATTCTAGAGAGATCAAGAATAATGCCGGTCATGTTTAAAAAAAAAAGTTATATGGCCCTTTGTAAGTATTTATGCTGTAAAAATGACTGTTTGTATGTGTAGTTTAGAACTTAATAGATGAGCAGTAAATATAATTAATATGTACAATAATTATTGTACATATACATAACTCAAATACTAATACTGACCACAAATTTAATAATTATTGTTAAGTTTGTACAGATTATACTAAATCAGTATATATTATTTCATTTCGTATAAGCTGTTTATAGCTTTTATTTAATTAAATATTGTTTGTTTATAGATCGTCTCAATAGTAACATAGAAGATCTTTTTACTGTAACTGATCGTAAAGATAAAGAATACTTGCTCAGTCCGGTAATGATTATTTTTAAAGTTCAATATTTAAAATTGGTAATAATTTTTTGTAGTTTGGATGATAATTTTTTAATTATTCATTTGTGTAGACTCATGAAGAAGTTGTAACAGACTTATTTTGTTCAGATCCTGTAACTTACAAAAAATTACCATTGCTTTTATACCAAATCGGAACTAAATTTCGAGATGAAAGAAGACCAAAATTAGGAATTATAAGATCTAAGGAATTTATCATGAAGGATTTATATTCTTTTGATAGGGATGAAAAAAGTGCTGTGCAAACTTATAATTCTGTTTGTCAGGCTTATGAAGATATATTTAATCATATTGGAGTGAAATATATTAAAGGTTAAAATCTAATAGTCTGTATATAATAGATAATTTACTTTATTAATTTAAATATACAAATTTTTAACTATAGTTGAAGGTGCTTCAGGAATGATGGGTGGTAGTCATTCAAATGAATTTCATTTCCCTGCAGAAGTAGGAGATGATACATTATTACAATGTAGAAAATGTAGTTATGGTATTAATAAAGAAATTCCACGGGAATTTTCTAAATGTCCCCTTTGTTCTAGTATCGATATTATATCAACTAAAGCCATTGAGGTAGCACACACTTTTCTTCTTGGAACCTTCTATTCAAAAGCGTTAAAAGCAGTATTTTCAGATGAAGATGGTTCTTTGAAATTTCCATTTATGGGAAGCTATGGAATAGGTGTTTCTAGAATTCTTGGCGCATCTTTAGAATCTCTGAGTACACAAGATGAAATTCGATGGCCTTATTCATTATCACCGTTTACAGTTTGCATTATTCCAGCAAAAGAAGGAAGTATTGAAGAATTTTCTAGCAATGATAAGCTAAATTATTTGTACACAAGTTTAGTAGAAATATTTGGGGATGAAGTGATAGTAGATGATCGAAATAATATGACAATCGGAAAAAGATTTATTGAAGCTAAAAAATTAGGTTTCCCATTTATTATTACACTAGGGCAAAAAATTAATCTAGACCCAGCACTATTTGAATTGTATGACATAAGTTCTAAAAATTCGAATTATTATGAATTGAATGAACTTCTCAATGTAGTAAAAAATCACCATATTAGGTTGTCCAAAGTGTATAATTAAGTTTATATTTTATTAAAAATCTTTCAATTAGTAAAAATGTATATTAATAATAAGAAAATAAATAACTGTGTCTTAAATTTTAATGTTTGCATTTTTTGTTTTTACTAAAATTGACAATAATACATGATATGGGATTAAAACAGATAACATCCTGTTTTTCAAAAAAAAAAAATGTGTATTTTATGTAAAAAATACAAGTCTCATATCATATTACTTTTATAATATATATATATATATATATATATATATGTCCTCTTCTTAAACAAAAAAAATTGATGGGTAGCCTTAAAAATAAATAAATTGTTATCAAATGCAGACTCGAACCGCAAACAAAGAATAAATTTCACAATTCACCTTTTTTAAATTAAGTTAACAATATCTAGTTTTGAAACAGATTTTTGTGTTCCAATGCTTCATGTAGTGTAATACTGTAGTAGTTTTGATAGGTCTTTCATTAGTACTTAGTTTGAGCACAAAACTTTTTAGGTCAGCAGCAACCAGTAACACGATAAGGTCCCTAGTATTATTTGACATTAGTAAAAAATTGGGTTCTTTTAATAGTAACTAGATCATCAATTTTGTAAAATGTTGCAGATTTTCACTTCTTATTGAGTTTTTAATATACGCAGTTTAGCTTTATATCTCTTTTTTTAAATTATTTAAATATTTATTGAACTCTTATGAAAAAAATACTGTTTTATAAATTACTATCCTAACTGGATTTCAAAATATGATTCTAAGAGTATTCATTTTTTCCATAACTTTTGTTAAAGTAGCTCTTCAAAATAGCCAGCAAAACTTACTTAATGCATCTATTACATTTAAAGTATTTTAATATCCTTTAGGCGTTAGGGCTAATAACCCAAGAAAATCAATATAAAAGGTATGAAGGGATGCATCTATTTTATTTATACTGTGTAAATAATTTCTGGTTTATTTTATTTACGGGACATCAATATACATTATGTACAATTATTAACAATTCTTTCAATCTTTACATAATCCAATTATTAAATATTCTCTATCTATTAAATATTCTATTTTTCACTAAAATATTCAGTATCATGAATATTTTTTATCACATATCTTTACAATATATTAAAAAAGTTGACGCAAAATTTTTAACTTGATGGTAAATAATGAATAAATTTTATTAAAATATTCATTTAGTTCAAAAATCTAAAATTCACTTTTGAATATAAATTTTTAATACAGAGTACTTAGTAGTTAAGTGCAAGATATAATAACTTCGTCATAATAGATTCTAGAAAAAGTAATTAGATAAATAAAATATTTATAACAATGAATTCGTAGTCATATAATTGATCAATTTAGTAAATTACACAACATACATAAAAAGAATACATTATATATTGGAAAAATTATTTTAAAAAATAATTGACATTTTAGAGAGCTTTTTTTTAAATAAATACTTTGAGTAACAAAATATAATATTAAATTAATAACTACTTAAAATTAAGACATGGCAGAGAATGTTGTAAACTCATATTTTACAATTAAAAAATATAAAAATAAGTTATATAATTATATACACTATGAATTTAGTATTAACAATAAATGAGCAAATATTTTGAGAGTAAATTTATGATTTGATTTGCAATTTATCTCGTTGTTGTCAAACATGTAATAACCTTAAAACATAATATTCTAAAAATTATACAATTATTACGTTATTTTTAAGGAATATTGACTTTGTATAAAAGTTAACATTTTGTGCGTAAAATTCAATTAAAACAAGTGTGTGTAAAAGAATCAAACCTTAAAATTTAGAAATTATTGCCAAGAGGTTGTATCTTAAGACCAGCTATTATTGTCCAAACTTCAGTAAGTAACATTTCATTATTGGCTACTAAGAATGATAAATAACAAATCTGCTGAACTGTAAGATTGGTAAAGTGAGCACAGACATGGTTATGTAGGTTGTTGGCTCGTTCTAAATCTAACCATCTGGTAACAATAATCCAGCATAGGATACTTAAATTTGGTGATTTGGTAACAATTATTACCTTTTTAAAGACAATGGTCGATCAGGAGCAACTGTGACACCAGTGGGTCCCCACAACCAAAACTCCAGCAAAGCCTTACACTTTGATAGTGAATTGGCTTTTCCTTGTCTTAAAACTTGTGATAAACATATTGTCATTTCCCAAGTAGGTGCCAGTAATTTGAGTATGTTTAACATTATATTACACAATGTATCTTCCTCCTAAAAAGTGTTAAGTAAATTTAATTTTAAATATTAGACACAAATGATCAATTCCTATTATATTTTACAAATGAAGTATAATTATTTTCATAGTTTACTTTTGAAACATTTTCAACTTGAATAATAGCAATTGTTGGATCTGTCCCAAAAAGATTTCTACTGATTACAAATGGTTGCAAGGTATACTTTTCTACATTTGAAGCTTGAAGTCCCATAAGTAAGTTAACAGTTTCCACTAAAATTAAACCTGCTTCTTTATTAACATCAGAATATTTAGCATTGTAATCTTTGCAGTATGATTCTATGCTCTCAATACAATGAGCATTCCATAAAGTAATATAAGCTAAAAACAAAGTTCAACAAATATTTAACTTGATTAAAGTTAAAAAACCAATAATTGATTAATATACCTTACTTTTGGTGGTTTTGGGGATCTACATTGTGATTGATTAACTATGCATCACAAATTAACTCTAAAAATATAAGTTATCTTTTTTTTAAAAATATTATGTTTTTAACTCGGGCTGCTCTGTGAGTAAAATTACATTTTTATGATCATCCCTTATGCTTTAAATCAGTATCAACTTTCAATTTTAAAATGGTAAGCCTATTTTTTTTTATATAATTAGATTAGATTTAGTTTAAAAAAAAAATTTTTGTAAAAATTTTTTTTTTTTTATTCAATTATCAGTGAGCTATGATTCATTAAAGTTTAGGGGATGTGAGTATTACTTACATTGATTTATAAAAGACGTGCAAATTATACGGGTAGTAAACTCGTATAATTTGCAAGTCATTTTTACTGGTTTATAATAATACGGTGATCTCTTGTATAAAGTACAATACACCAATAGTTCTTAACGGTATACTAAATATTATTGTTTTTGTATTTACCAGACTACTGTTTTATTTGTTAAATTCCCTAAACTTTAAATAGTGATATCTCATTTAGAATTTATTAAAATTAATTTTTTTTTTTTTTTATGCTTAACAAGATGAATAAAAAAAAAAAAAAAAACTGGGTTGCTATTTGAAAAACTTAAGTTGATATTGATTTAAGGGTTAAGGGATAAAGATGGAATCTTTATTTTTTTAAGTAGCTTAACAAAGATTTATAACAAATAAAATAATTACATATTTGATAACACTGATACATTAAAAGAAAATTCGTGAGGTATAGTTAGTCAATCACCCTGTATAAGGTATATTAAATGTATTTTGTTGACTTACCTTCTTCATTTTCATTACTAATGGAAAATTCTTTGCCAATTTGACCAATGAACTGAGATATTTTAGTTAGTGTAAAGTGGTTATTTAACACATTTTTAAGTTTAACTTCTTTGGTTGAAATGGAGAGAACTACTGGGACATCATACCATTTACTGTTGTAAAATGAATATTCACCTTTTTGTAAACGACTAGTGGAATCAATACGGAAACTAGACCATTCAAGACTTTTAGTTTGAAACACCATTAATTCTTTAGGAATTTTTGGACCACCTGATGCCTACAATAATTAAAGCATAGGCAAAAATTATATTGATATAAAAGGACACATAGAAATTTTCATGGGGGATAAAACCCCCCAGGATGGAAATAAATACATGGTAAGGATGTATTTTCGAGAGGGTAGTAAAAAAATTTCTTATGTATATCTCTTAGGATAAAATCATGAGAACGCCACTAAAAGAATAATACAACAAACCTGATCCAAAAGTTTAGACAATGCTTCATGGTTAGCTATAACAACAGCATCATAACTTTTTTCCAGACTTTTGTGATTTTTTGTTTGAATATTTCTCACACTGTCTTCAATACCAAACTTTATAAGAAAAGTAAACAAAATAAATAAATAAAATATACTAGCAAAATATAACAAAAAACTTACATCGTCTCCAAATTGAATGACAGGATAAATTTCTGATTCAGTTTCACTACCACAATACTGCATAGATGTTAATTGGGCCATTTCAGAACTATGATCACATTCTGGCGCTGAGTAATTAATCTGTTCATAAATCTCATCTGAAGTACTAGAATCACAGGTTTTAGACGCATCATCACAATATTCAGTAAGTTTTAAGTTATTTTTCACAGCTGTTGTTTGAGGTGTTGGTGGATGACTTCTTGGCGGTGGAGGTGGCTTAGATGGTCTTGCTAAAATTTTTTTTCACAATTTAAGTTAAATTTGTTATACATTTAAACAAAATTTATATCATTATAATTTTATAATTTAAAATAGTACAGAAAAACTAATTATAAGTTATATAATTTGAATAAAAATTACTTGGATGATGTTGAGATGACATTTTTGTAGTTAAATCTTTCATTTTTTTCTCATCTATGTGGTGTATAAGGTCAATATTATGAATTATTTCTACACCAGACTTATTGATATCTAGAGGATGAATAATTTCCAATTTTGGTCTAGATGGAGTCTGAGGTAAAGTATTTACTGATTCTTTACTAGGTATTCTCAAGAATTTTTTTATTTTTGAACCAACTCTAGCAGCTTTACCATATTTTTTTTTTTCAAATGAAACTCGACGAACAGGTAATGGAAGTGTTGCTGATTCACGTGTTGAAGTTTCAACACTCTCAACAATTGGAATATTTTCATTATTATTAGGTAAGTATTTTTCATTTTCAATTTGTTCACAATATTCAGCCAATAGCTTATGATTTGTGGAAATATTTTCGTCAAGGCCTCCAGATTCGTCATCAGAAACCGAAACATTACTCTCTTGTCTGCAGAGGTAAGAATTATTATTGGCACAAACGATCATAGGAGATGGGGGAGTTGAAGGTGGTTTAGGAGCTTGTCGCTTAATACTTCTGGGGCACTCTGGTGGGCTGCAGCTTGATGACTGTAAAATTTATATAAATTATTTTATATTCTGTCTTTAGCTACTTAAAAACATACATACTTTTCTCAGAGGAGTTCTCGGTGGAGTATCACAAGGGGGCGGTGGGGGAGGTGATTTATCTTTGCTGAAGCTATGCAAAAAAGATCGATTAGTAGGAGTAACTGGCAGTGATGGCTGTTGTTCATTTGGTTCATCAGAATCAGCTTTACCATCCGGTTCACCAGCTAGTTCTCGACTGGTTAACGATTCCGGCGATTCTATTGTTTTGCAAGAATCAGACTTTTGAAAAGGTACTACAGCAACTGGCATTTTTATTTTAAATTGAGCCGTACCCATACGAGGGACATTACTTCTCATCTTGTAAGAGGCTATGTTCGAAATATCGATCGCTGGCAACTCCGGTTCTTTAGGTGGCGTTAAAGGTGTATCTGTCGTTGCGGTAGGTTCATTTCCTTTCAGTCTTTCTGTTTTAATTTCTTCAGGTTGTGGTAGTTTGGAAACCGATGAAATCACTTCAAGAGTCTCTTTTTTTGCAGGCTTATCCAGAACCTGTATTAGTTTTGTATCTTCAGATACCAAAAAGTTAGACCGTTTCACATTAAGATACGATTCGTTAGAGCTAGCTACCAATGAGCTTCTAACCAGAGAAGTCTTTTTATTTTCAGTCTTGCGTATGGGAACTTCATTTTTAGTGCAATTAACGATAGGGGTTTCCTCTGATATAATAGATTTTTCCTCTACATTCGCTAATACGACAGAAGTTGTTTTTACTGGAGTCTCTTTCTTGGCAGCTGCTGCTATTTCTTTATTTTTTAAGAAACTATAAACTAACGATTTTGGTTCTGGATCACCACCAAATGGTTTCACTGTAACTAAAGGGGGCGATAATGATTTTTCAGTAATTTTTAATCCATTTGATTTGGGTGATTCAGCTTTAACAGATGTAATTTTGGTGACCTGTGGATTAGTGATATTTTTTTCAGGAACTATGTTTAGTTTGCCGTTCATGTTTGTGTTGGCTTCTGTCAGTCTTTTTAGTTCTTCTTCCTCTGCCGAATCTGGATACTCCAAAACATCCTCGTCGTCTGAAGAATAATCTTCATCAGTGGAATATTCTTCGCCACCATAACCAATGACTTCATATTCGACATTGGAAAAAGATACATTTAAAGACTTTTCACAAGCGCTTTTCCCCTTTAATATACTCTATAAAAAATAAATAATTGATAATAATTATAAGTTTATCATACAGATATTTGTTTATTTATTAAAATACTTTACAGGATAAAAAAGAATATGTCATTTCCAGGTAGTATTTTTAGAAAAATAATATTTGGTTAACATTTATACACCCAGAGAAAAACCTCGATCTATATAATAAATTCATTGTTCAATTTGATAAATATATCATTACTATTGAATCAATGATATATTTATCAATATGATATTTTTTTTTCTTGTCTTGAACAATAATTATTTATAAGAATAGTTATTTTGTTCGTATTAATAAAACATTATTATAAACCCTTGATAAAATTTCTCTTTCAATTTTGATTGAGGTTTTTCTTTGAGTGTACAATGTTTAAAGCTGTTCTAATATTAAATAAATGTTTTTTTAACATATTAAAAAATGCTATTTGGGTTAATATTTGGATTTGCATCTTATATTATAATGATCAAATGTGATTCATTTAAATATATAAGTATATTGGTTTAAAAAGAGCAATTTAGGGTAATCTAACATTGTTTTATAAGGACCAAGCTCTTATGAAATATGATGTCTAGTGCTCTACTTGGCAAAATTTATTAGTTTTAGTCGGAATTTTTTTAATACAAGAAAATGCTACCAAAAATTAATTATTAAAAAGACCGCACAATTAAAAAAAAATTATTTAAATGGAAAAAATAAATATTCGTCTTTCCTATACATTTAGCTTCGAAAAGATCCTGATGATGACTAATAAATTAAAAAGAAAATGTATTGAAATTAAATAATCAACTTAAATTTTTCATTGTAAATTAAAACATCACTTTCAATAACTATTTATTTTCGCTCTTAATTAAAAAAAAAATTATTTAAAATGTTCTCACTATTTATAGAAAACCGTTGAATATTAAAGTTTTAACGAAGTTAAAAGTATATAAAACTGAATATTTATAAAAATTAAAAAGTTATAATTACTAGGTCAGGTGATATTTCAGGTAATGGTTTGTAGTCAATGTGCACCCGTTTGGGCTTTTGAGGATGTTCTTCTTTAGGACGAAAACAGTTTGAGCATAAATCTTTTTTCCAAGTATTCTGTTTGAATCTTGGACACTCGTTTTCAGGCGACATCTTAGGATATTAATAATAAAATTCGATTCCGATAAGAGTGAAATAAGTGATTACAGCGATTCTCTCATTCGCCATAGTTCTGAAAATAAACATTTAATTAAGTAACATAAATAATTTTTGAAAGACCTATGAAAATAAGGTGCTATAATGATAAGTAACAGGTAGTTTTCTAGAAAAGATAATATCTCTCAATTTATAAATTCAATTATCTTGGAATCAATTTTTTTTACCATGATCAGTTCAACTCTAGGTGCCTCACAATTAAAACAATACACTCGCGGTATAATAGTTCAATACAACAACATTAACAGTCAACACAAGTTTGCTATTATGTGTATGTTTGCGCTTAATAAAATGCTCTTGATATTATCCTGAATAATAAAGCTCTATTATATATTTAGCATAATACTACATTGGATTATCTAAAAATTTTGGATTCGTAAATAGGGGACGACATTAATGAATATTACACGTACAAATTACTTATGTACGTGATGTTAGACACACACGAATTATTAAACAATAGTTTTCTTTACATAATTATAGCAAAATATAAATATAAAATATATAAATATAATTACACACAAAACTATGAAATAATTAAATAAATGAATATACAGTTACTTTAAGTAAATCTTAACACGTATTAATTTAATTGAGACGATAATAGTCGTGTTAGTAAATGATTCGTTTACTCGGAAAGCATGAACACATATAAATTTTTATGTAAAATAATTAACTATAATATATTATTGAGGACGAGGACTGCATTAAATTACAAGCCAACTTAGATTGCTTTTATCAGTGGTGTTCGTTTGAATGTTAATGCTGAGAAATGCTCACAAATTTCTTTTTCACGACGTTAATCAAATTTCCATTTTCATTTTAAAATAAAAAGCTCAGAATTAGCAATTGTAACCCAGATAAAAGATCTAGGCTTTCGACAATCAAATGATCAATCGTTTAATAATCACATAACAATGATATGGTATAAGGCTCTTTGAGTATTCGGTTTTGTAATGTGTAATTGTTCAAAATTTATAAATCCTTATAGCCTTAAATTATTATATTCCACTCTAGTCCAACCCATATTGAAATATGGATAGGTTATTTGGGATCCTCATTAATTCTATAAATAATTTTGATTTTTTCAATGATAACTTAACCAAGTTTAAATCACAGTAATAATTTGTAACAGTATCAATGAATGTTTTAGAATTAGATAAGTACATGTTATATGTTTAGTAGTAATATAATCTGTATTGTCTTCAAATTTTTACTTTTACTATACGCTGTACTCATTGGGCGTTATTTACCAAATAAATAATAATTAAATTATAGGTATTTATGGTAAGTATTACTGAAAAATTAGTTTATATATAAATGTTATAAATATATCAACAAATTGAATTTTTGAAACCCAATTATAATTAGCAAAGCCAACATTAAAAAAAATTACTATTATGTCGAGTGAAAAATCAGTAATATTTTGAACTTAACAGTTATTGGAATTGAAATTTTGTCTGTGTTGTGCCACCTCAAAATAGTAGACAGTAAACAACACAATAACGATAACCGATGCAAATTAATTTAATATTAATAGTTATAAATGTAATTTGATAGAAATTAAGTTAACATTTTTTTTTTGTGAGGAGCCTGAAGCAATCGACCCTGAAAGATGTTGAAAAAAATGATTTGATTTATGGTGACCAAGGACTTTTTCGGTTAGATTTCAACTCTTTGACAACCAATGATCAGCCATACCCCTTTCTAATCTGAATAGTGACCTCTGTGCAAAAATGTTATTATGGAGAATGTTTTGTGAATTTGACATTAACTTGCATTATACCGTGGACGAGAAAGGAAATTCAAACGGTTCTAGAAAGTTTTACATTAAAGTAGTACGTACAATATGTCTGGTTTTTTTTAATTATTTGTAAAATTTGTACGAAAAAAACGAAATGCGCCGCATCGAAAGGTTACTGAGGATAAAAAATACATAGTCCAACGTTATTTATTTTATATAAGTTTTTAATATTTTACAAAATTGTCGTAAAATATTAAAATATGTAAAATTCATTTTCCATTAAATATATTAAAAAAAAAAAAAAAACACCGATGGGATTCATAGAATCAAGCCGGTTATTTTCTAATGACTTCAAATATTATCATTGACATGTGTATGTAAAATAGGCTCTCTGTAATAAAGTGAATGCAATTTAATGTTACGATATTTTTTATTAGTATAAGATCAAAAATGTGCGTATTCATTAATGCGCTTTATGTTGCAGTTTGCCTCTCAATACGATCATATCATTATTAGAGTAACCTTGAATATCTTGCTGTGTAAATTAAATACGTATATACAATACGGCTTCTGTTCTCCGACAATAATGCTAACCGAGACTACTAATATTAACCTAATAATTTGTAGCACAAAAGGTAATTGCCTACACACGGTGTGCGTCAACGCAATCTCTCGAGACAACAAAGAACCCGGTAGCAGACATATTCATAGCCTTTTTGATAATTTTTTTTTATTGGATATTTAAAATAATTTTCCTGATTCGCTCAAAAAATAAATATCAAATATTGAAATCCGTGTAATTTGAAATTGGTGCAACATATGAGTATATGGATTTCACAAAGCATATGGAAGATAGAACGGAAATTATTGAAATAATAAGTGTCACATACATCGTTCCAATTATACAATTATAAAATATGTTTCAGGGATGTGTTTTTTTACCAATATTTTTAAACGAACAAAGAAATAAATTCAAAACGTTTATTAAGGGACACTGATTTAAAAAAGAAACGATTGCAAAAATCGTAAGTCGGTTAATATTGACGACAATTTAATAAAAGATATAATGGCTTGATTATCCACTAACGATTATTTTACGATAGATTGCAGTGGCATTGTAACCAAACCTTCGGCCGTAACGCTCTGAATTACACGAATAATAATTTGACTAGTACGGTCAAGTCGTTATAGATGTTTTTTACAACAACACAGCACTGCTCCTATAATGGTTCTCCTTTTTTATAACAAATCTCGACCACTTCGCACAATACTGTAGGTATTTTTTTTTATGAGATCAACCGTATAATTTATCATTTTTTGAAAATAGACAAAGGTTTACCAGTCTATTATCTAGGTAAATGGATTATAAATGGTAATACAATTAGCTACAATGTCTGAACCGTTATTGTAATGGATTGTTAAATTATTATGAAGAAGTGTATCCAATATTTTTAATTACTTGATTTATGATTTCTAAATATAATATAACGAATATTAAAAATTAAAAAATATTGCATAGCTTTTATTTTTTTGACAGCCACACTGAAAAAAAATCCTTTGGTTAAACCAACAATCAAAATTATCGTACAGTTAGTGACGTATCAAAATATGTACAATAAACATTTTTTTCATTTAACCATTATTTTTGTTAGAATAATAAAAAATTGATTAAATTAACAAATATTTTGTTAAATCAACAAAAAAAAAAAAAAAAAATGGTTCAATTAATAAGTATATTTAAATATTATTGAAACTATAAAAAATTTGTTGATATTACCAAGAATGTTTTTCAGTGCAATCTAGAAAAAAATGTACTACTTAGTTGAAGCAAAGCAACTAGCAAAAAGTGATTAAAATATAACTATAGCTGTTTTTATTAAACGGTGAAATAAGAATATATATCGTATCTGATTATGATGACAGAGAGAGGCTATTAAAATAGGGTTTTTTTGTATTTTAAATAATGATATGTGAATACTAACAAGTATTACAAGTAATAACAAGTGTAAGTGTCTTTTTCATTGAAAAAAAAAATAATTTTTTGATTATTATAAATTGGGATAATATAAGGTATGGGTTTGTTTAAAGTATGACAAGAAAGCGGATTGGCCGTGCTCAGTTTTCAATAAAAATAAGACTGGGGCAATTGCCCTATTAGCAACCCTCCAAATGACGGCCTTGTTATTACCAAACTTTGGGTTAGATCGATGAACCACGAACATGCTACGGGATTTTCAACTAAGAGTGGTATTTCTTTGTCGTACGAAGAAACGATCTATAAATCCACGTGAAATATCGTATGTGTTGAAAATGTATCCTGACCACAAACGAAAAAAAATTTAATACTTTGAACATTAAACATTATTATTAAAATCGCTTGTGACATCTAAATATTCGAAACAAATCGTCCATGAGAACCACAATTGTAACATAAGTTTGAAGACGCAAAATGATACTCGGGTATTATGTACCAATACATAAAAAGACGCTAAAGAAAATTATATGTAAGATAGAAAATAGATAGACACGTAGCTACTTCATTGTGGTTTGTGATGATAGTATAGCACTGATAACACACAAAAAATAGTGATTCTTAGGGTAAGGTTATACAGGTGATCAGTAAGTAAGAAAACAAGTAAATTGTTACAAACAATGAGAACAATAGAAACCCGTTTCATTACTTACAGAACACCCTATATATATATACGTATGATCTGTACCTATGATGCACGCATGGCGTTGATCGTGGGCGTGTAGCCACACGCTGTGGCTGCATCTCATTCATCCGTTACGAATTGCTTGGGATATCTTTGCATTACTCTTGTAGGATATAATAGTAGGTATTTTTGTTTTCTAAAATATGCCCGAAAATTATTGTTGCAGCTGCAAGAGAGAAATCGTCCGAAACGGAGATTTTAATTGAAATTTTCCGGTGAGAAGTTCTCATGAAGATAAAAGGGTTAAATATTTTAAATAAGTCTTTGAACGTTTAAGGTGTTACACAGAATACAAATAATTTATCACCGAGTATACATTATTTTTATCTAACGTTTGTCTGTAATTTTCAATATCTTGGTTTTTGTACTTGGGTTTGTTGATGTTTCAAAGAAATATGTAAATCACAAGTTGACAAGTTATAATACTAATACTGTAGTATTAGTATTATAGGTAATTATCCTACTTTCAAAATTTTTTTGACAGGTATACGGTATCATTTGAAACGGTAATTTGTTTTTAACTAAAATTAAGAAATTTTATTTTTTAATAATGATGATAAAACAGTTTTTAAATTTATTGTTACAAATATATTCGTATGTATAATTGAAATTGCGAATAAAAATGTAAGGTATCGCTGAAAGATAGGAGTTCATTAGTCTATTGAATTTCGCATTTACTATATAAACTAAAACAATTACAATATACTGATATATTAAGAACAATAATGGGATCGCTATGTCCTTGGTTTTTCTCAAGCTGTTTCACCAAAGAGAAATTCTTGCTTGGAATTTAAATAATACAACTTTTTAAAAATAGAAGTTATGGTGCTACTGTATAATCATTTAGCAAACACAAAGAATATCATTTTGTTAATATGAATTTTAGTTTCTTAAAAAACAACTAGTAGTTTAAACTTTACCATTTTCAGTTATATACATAAGAGCAGGCGTTTGTGAAACTTACAGTATTAATATTTCATTTTGTTTTTTTTGGGTACAATGTGTTCTCACGATAACGTTTATTGTTTTTAAAAATAGAAAACTCGTCTGCAGTTGATTTTTTTTTTGAACTCCAGTTCCTATTTGCTAATTTTATGAAAATAATGGTTAGAAAGTATTTCGAGAAAATTACGTCGAAAATTGCCAACAATTAGGTATATTGAATTGCTATAATTTGACTGTGATCATACTTTTCAACTATCAACACACTTAAAATTATGGCACCAATGATCCTAATCGTTTTGTTTTTATCGATTGCAATACCGTGATAAGATAATAATGCCCATAATACTTAAAGAAACTAATGACTCAGAAATTAGTCATATTTTCAAGTTATGTAACTTTTTTTTAAAAGAAAACAAACATTGCATAGAATCTTTAAAAGAAAATAACATTGTTTATAATTTATTAAGTATTTTATGATGCAATAACAATAAGGTATACAAAGTAATTTTAATTGCAGCCGAATATCTGCTTAGTTTAAAATTACTTAAAAATATATACTTAATAATATATAATATGTGCTCCATATGTATCTAATATAATAAATTACAACTTAGATTAGAAAACATGTCCATGATGCTTTTAAATTGTTGTTTTTAGCATTCACCATTAATACAAAGAGGAAAAGTAATAACGAAAAATTAAGGTAAGTTCCGATGAATAAAAAATGCATGTTTGTATCTTTAATGATAGTTAGTAAACAATATAAAGTATATGAATAAAAAGTTTAAATTTCATTCTTTAAATTAGAACCATTGCTACCAAACTTCCAATTAAATTGTTAAAATATTGGATGTGTTATGCTGGTATTAAAATTAATATTATTAGTAAGTATCATTTCTAGAAAGTTCAAAATTATCTTATTAGTTTAAGAGTCGTCAATTTTTTTCAGTCTGTGAACGAATACTACCAACGAACTAAGGATTCTAAATTTCGTGATTCTAAATAGAAACTCTGATTGTAAGCAGTAGCTAGTAGTTTTTTCAATAAAAAAATATTTAAATTAAGTCGTACTGTCTAATCACAATTTTTTAGACAATATAATAGCTGTTTATTCACTGAAAAATTAAAATTTTCGACATAAAATAATTAGTTAAAATGTTTGTTTTATATAATTATAAATGTTTTTACATTATAATTATAAATGTTTTTACATTATAATTATAGAAAATTTTCCAGAGAAGATTTATCAACTTTATGAGTGTGACGTCAAGATATAAATTAATAAAGAACTTGGAAAGATGAAAGAATTCTCAAATGTGTCATTCACTAATGAAGTCCCATTTATATCTATTATTACTATTTTATGTTCATAAATCAATTATACCTTTGCTTATTTTATTTTTTTCATTTGTTTATCATACTGTTGTTTCATCTCGTTTTCAATTTTTGTTACATTAAACAATGAGAATGAAAAAAAATGTTCTCGTTAATTTATCGCCATTACAACAGTACATTTTAATGATCAATTTTCACTACAAAGCGTGAGACTATATTGAGTATTATTGATATTACAAAGTTAGCCCTCTATTGATTTCATAAGCAAGGCAACGTTTATCGAATAATATTATGTTGAACTACAGTAAATATTTATATAAACACTGTATTCGGTTAAACATAATACTGTCAGTGTAATAAAATACGTATTTCAATAAGAAATGTCCATTTTTATATAATTTTGTAATAGAACAGTAGTCTTCAAAATTTAAGATTGGTAAAAAAGACCTATTAGACCGGAAGGTCTAAGATTCTCACCTTAAATTAATATTATATCAACCTAAATTAAACGTTCACGCCCAAGTATGCTATTATTTAGACAATACATAAATATTTGAAGATAAAACCTTAAAATAAAAACCTGATAAAAAATCATTTATAAACGAAGACGTTCATTATATACCTGTACATTAATATAGTACTAACGTGTATTTTTTCTTTGAGTAGTTATTGCTGTCAAAAATTTGATTATTATAAAAATACAAAAGCTACGACATTACTAGCATGAAAACAATAATTAAACGTGTGTTTATCTTAATTATTAATACAACGCCCTACCGGTTATTATGTTTTCATGATAATTCTCCTAATACATTCCATCGGACAGGCTAATAACAACGTCGGTCACCAATGAAAATGTTGTAATGGCATTACGTGTGAAGTTCAACGGTCGGTTTACTTATTGAACTTACGCGGTGGGTATACAGCTCTGTATACACAAAATGATGAGCATACACAGTTGGACTCGAATATAATAATAAACAGTTAATAAGCGGACAAACCCGCGAGAATATACACAGATATTCCGTTATAAGTCGCACGGCAAACCGGTAACAATCTTGGCACTAAACTCTATACAATGAATGTGTTTAGAAAGAATATTATGGATTGTTATGGTTATCGATCATACCGATCCACAGATATAGAGTTCAGTGTATCACTATGTAACCGCGCTGAGTAAAAATAAACTTGCTCCTACTAATATTATCATTGTTATCATAGATAAAGTGGTTTGTTTTCCGTCACAATAATGATAGTGTCACTTTTTCATCTTAGATGATTTTGTACATGGTTTCATTAAAATTTTTATACTCTGCTTCATTCATTAAGTGGAATGCAGAAATATGCAAATAAAAAAATGTAAGGTATGCACTTAAACACTACCTGGTGTGCGAAGAACGAGAAGGAAAAGTTAGACGTCTAATATAATACATTTGATTGGCATGCGAGACATACATAACAAATGATGTACGGAAATATAAATTAAAATACATATTTTTCTATTACTGCACATAAAACGTGATACGCATAACTTTGTTTTAAATTCGTAATGTCAATTTTATTAAAAATATATATTTCTCACTAAAATACATTTTATAAACGTTTTGAATTAGAATAATAACGAGAAGTTGAGTAATCTATAAAATACATCTCACTATGAATAAACATTTAACATTTAAGAATTTGTATCTATTCTGCAGTAACTACTTAAATTACTATCATCAATATCTCATACAGTTGTAACGTTTTCATTGTGAGTGTATTAAGATAAACAAGTTTTTTGGGTGTACATTTTATTGCGTTAAAATATTTTAATTACAAGATGTTAGAGCATTGTTAAAGTTAATCAATTTGTATTTTGACTATTAGCTTGTTATTTTAATTACAAAACACATACAGCTTCTAAAATTGTTTATTTTATTCTCTCACATAACACTTAAAAATGAATTAATGATAAATGAGAGCGTTTAAAATATTTAATGCTTATTATTAGAATAACTCAGAACAGTTATCTGCATACAAGTTATACTCTTGGTAAGTGTTTCCTTGTTGTTATAGTGTCTGATGTTGTTGCTGTTTCTGGCTTACCCGAGACAAACAGCAGTGTAGGACGTACATTTCACCCTATGGGCTCAATTTATTAGGGGAACGATGAAAAGTATTGGGGTGAAATACTTCCTTTTCATCAAGGTTTTTCAGTAAAACGAGAGAAGTCTTGACTGTGTATACGGCTAATGTCGTATAGGGTAAAATAATAAACATACACGAAGAATATAAAAGATCAATATACTGTCGTCACATTTAATGAAAAATAATACAGCATCTCGAAATGAAACAAAAACAATTCATAATAATTATTACACAAATTATTAAAAAATATAATATGTAGTTAACATTATGTATATAACTTAAGAGGTTCTCATATTTTATCATTAACACAAAGCAATTGTGTTATATGATAAGTATTTGACTACACTAAAAAATAATAGATAGCATCAATAATGTTAATGAACTGCAAATGAATACTTTATTCATTATTAATTAAATTAATAACAAAACTATGTACCAACATGGGTTTAAACTTTTATCATTGTGCTCGAATGTCATACTAATTATAATTATTCATAGAGACGACGAGAATGCTCTTTTAATCACTATTTATGCTCATAGTAATACATTATAGGTTTAACATGAGTCTAGGGGAGTTATTTTTATAAAGGTTTTTTTAGAATAACTCTTGTCATCTTTGCAACTGTAAAACGGTTTCGTTTTAAATGTTTAACATTTTGCAAATATTGTACGCTAATGGTAAAAAAAACCGAAATATAGTTCGATATACACTATGTATGTAGTTGGTTGGTTGTTTACACAACACAATATGTGCATTAAGTATAAACATTAAAATGAATCTTTAGTATTACACAGTCAATATGTGATTACATTGCGAAGTAAACGAATATGGTGTAATTATTATTGTTTGTAACTCATGTTTTATGATATACTTTAAGCGGCAATCATCGAGTTGCGCTGCCATTTAAGAAAAACATATCAGTTTACCAATAATTGGTTTTATGGTGCCAAAAAGAAGGCGATTCATTTGGTCTAATTAATTTTTGTTGCCTAAAAACGTATTATATTGCGTTCGTTTTAGTTATCAGTCGTAATATCCAGAAATGCATAAGTCATAGTTTAAAAGTTTCACATTATTAACTCTTACGCCAACGGTAGTCAAATTCACTAACAATCGAAAAAAAGGCGTGAGGCACGTTCGTAAACCCACTTTCGCCCAAATAATGTTAAGTTCCGGTAATGTTAACACACATTACTTAATATTAAAGAGACTGAAAGTCATCATTGAAATTTAATCAGCTATTTTCGCTTGCAAAATTATAATAAACGCAACCAACGCATGTTATGCCGAATAATAATATAGTAATTGCATTGAATATCAATATTAACAAATTCAAAGTCCGCACTGAAGTGTACAACAGAGACAGTAAAAGCCAAGTTCACAATTTGTTGTGGGATATAAATGTTTTACAAAACACGTGCAACAGCTCATCGCATTCAGTGGTTTTTACTGCGGCAACGGAATTGTTTTAGAAAAAAACTGCACGTCTGCGGGCTGACCATGTCGGTCGAATTATAATTAACAAGAGATCTCCGGGCAGTATTGCAATGAGAGACCGATAACGTTCGGTTGTTTAACATTACGGCGACGATACACGCGATTAACTGCAATCCTAACAGCAGTTAAGTCGGTCACATCTCCGCAAACGGAACTCTTGATTTGCAAAGTGATCGCAACATATTGTGAAACTACACGAAGTGCTTTGATACCCGTGTGCGGTACGACTTAAATGCACACACAAAGCGCAAAACTGTAACGATAATAATGTAAATAGCCTTCATTGCCGTTATTCACCGTTTTATTAAAAATCTATACAGAACGTGCGTCATTATATTTCAGGTTTGTACATATATAAATAAATACATTAACGATAAGGACAATAATAAATGTAAAAAAAGACTAATCAAAAAATCCAACCTAAACATTCATACATTTAAGTGAAACGTCGAGTGCGATTGACGCACACTCCAGCATTGCAACTTGCAATACCACAGCATTAAATGTTAATAGTGCATTGTCATCGAATGCAAAAACTACATTCGTTATCATTGTTGTTCAGTGAAGTTTACCACTGAAAAGTGAAAATGTTTATTTTTTTTACAACGAATCGAAAACACAAGACAGCTAAGTGTTTACTTAATAAAAATACACCTAAACACACGATAATAATTTCCTTCTTTAAAAGTCAACCATGAAAATTTCACGTTTGACTTTTAAAGACATTAATTGGCGTTTAATGTCAATTAATGTTATATATGATTTATCGCTAGAGCGTTCGAGTAGCTTGATGTGAAAGAGAAAATTTCCGGTCCTTTTACAATATGGCTTCACGTTTCAAACGGCTTATGAAAGTATTTCGACCGTTAAAAATAACATAACAATTTTATCATATGATATTTCAGTTAACAGCGTTTTCACTATTTAAATCGCTGGTTAGATATGAGCTGACTTAGCCTACTAAGGACGGCACCACAACAATAGGCCTCATCGAATTCCTTTCCATTGATAACCTTTGACCTGGATTTTTAGTTGTGGTTTATTGTATGGAACAATAGGGTAAATGAATTCATCATAAGGTTGCGCTGATCGTGTATGTTTAAACAAAACAGTTAAGACAGGACAAAAATTTGATTAAAAACGCAACCCTAAGTTCTTTAGCTTTATAAAAGAATAATTTTAGTGGACATTCAAGTAAACATAATATAAATAGACTTCATTCATTAAATTACATAGTAATTGAATAACAGTAAAATCCTTTTATTGTTTTACGTGCTTCACGAAAACTGTTAATATTCCAAAAAGATCTTTTAAATTCCCATGAAATATCAAATAACTGAAACCCGTTGATCATCAACTGTTAGCTTAAGAATTATGATTTTTAACTCGTTTTTAATTTTAAAGTTTAAAATATGGATATTCATCTACTATAAAAGTGGTTTCTACTGGTGAATGATTAAAAGAATATTCATCAGGCTAATTATATCATGTATATATTTCAAAATTATAACAGTTAACTTAGTGACGAGTAAAAAACGAGACAACCGTGCGCCGGCCAGTGATTTTACCCCACCAACAACAAGTTACACCATTTTACTAAATCACCAGATGTTTTAACTTATTATAACTGTAAAAAAAAATATGTTTCGTTATCAAACATAATCTAGTAATTTTATAATGAAAATAAATAGAACAGTATTTATTCTTAACTATTAAAAATATATTGTGAATTGCGATAAGTTGTATAATGATAATAATGCTCTTAGTTAAATATATCCAACGAATATATTCTTATAACCGATGTTATCTCATATCCTTACTATTTTATCAAAAACTTTCTGTTGGCGAGAAAAATACGAGTTATTTAGAAAGTTTATCAATTATTTTTAATAAAAAATCAAAGCAACAAATAAAAGTAATATGGATATTAGTAATGAGTTGATAATGTTGAATACACTATTAGTGTGAGTAGATACGATGAGACATCACCGGATATATAATTGGGCGAACAACCTACACTACAATGCTATCACTGTTAATTTTTATATAAGCTACTATTTGCTCATAATATAAATTAAACGACACCATTTTTGATAAGTAGATATTTTTAATAAATGAATTTACATTTTTGATAAGAATAATAACATGTGATAAGTTTTTAACTTAATAATCCAGTTAAAAGAAGAAAACTTTGGTTTCTCTTTTAGGTTTTTTGTTTTTCTAGTGGCACACAAATACTATAAGTGGCCGGTAATAGCAGAATGCGGTCAAACGGGTTTTGAAGTGAGCGAGCCGTTGCACTGGTCGACACCAGCCGGCAGCACGAGCAACATGCCGGTCAGCCGTCGGTTCAGTAGGCTAAACACCCACTGTCAGCACCGGTAACTTAAAACGTTTGTAAATTTTCCCATCAAAATATTGGAAATCAGTCTATATTTCTAAACAAAGATCTTACTTTGAGAGTTAAAATAATCCAGTAGTCAGTTTTAAGTCACATGTTGCACTCTTTTTAATATGTGTAACAATATTACGAAAACAAGACGTTCGTTGTTTAAAAAATATTTGTTGTTGTAAAAACAAAAGCTAAGTGAAACACAGATAACACGAGCACTACACTGTTTTAACGGTATTTAATCAGACAACTGACGTGACTAACAACAACCGAACGACCCACTCAATGGATGAACACTAAACTTTAAAACGTGAAGAGTACCGGGCCGCAGACAGTCGCAGTTTTGTTGACTGTTCAGTAGATTTCGGTTCCGGATAAACGCCATCTACCAGATAGTAAATGAATTCAGAAATCCGGTTGTCTTCTCTTTTCACAAATAAAACTTAGTATAATAATATAATACTTTATAACGTTACTGCAGGCTTTATTTTCAAAAAAATGTACGATAATCAAAAAAAAATAAACATTTTAAATGGTGCTATTGGAAAAATATACCGTGAATCGCTGAAAATATCTTGAATTTTATTTTTATGTAAATAATACTTATAAATAGTTAAATTTACATAATTTAAAATCAGTGGTTTATATATACATAATTTAAAATCAATAGGGGCACTAAAGTCTAGCTTATCGCCTACTTTTACTACTGTAAAAAGATTACTACGGTAGTGTATATATTGAATACAGTAACAATTGGGTAATGGAGACTATATACATACTAGCCCTTACATACGCCACTGATTAAAAAAAACTTAAGTTAATCTTGTTAAATAAATTTATTCTTAAACACGTGTTTTATGATTATATTTGTTTATCAATTGTTATTATTACTTCGAGTTTCTAGATAATTTTCTTAAGTTAGCTGTGTTTATTATACAAACAAAACTAGAAAATTCTTATCTGAACACTGAATTTATAAAATATATGAAAGATACTTTTTTCTCACTACTGAGGCACGTACAAAAACTGTGTTAAGACTTAAAACTAGTGATGGGGAATATTGAATAGCAATTATCGAACTATTCGATAGTTATTCAAAAACTATTCGGTAGTTTGTATAATTATTCGTTAGTTACCCAACATATTCGAATAGTGTTTAAAACTATTCAATAGTTCCATTCGGATTTTATTTAAAGTATTCGATATTTTTTTTAAATATTTGATAGTTTATGCTAAAAATAAATAGTTATTCGATAGATTAAATACTCAAAAATGCCCATAACTACTTAAAACTTCTCCCTTGTAAACAAATCCAGTTTTGATATTATATTTAAATTGATCTGTTATCCTTGTAGTAAGTAAAATAATTGAGGTCAAATAATTTCCGTAGAAAAATGAGTTATTATATTTATTATTATTATTATTATTTTTATATCCTGACTATTAAATAGTAATATAGTAAAATTGATTAATTTTGATGTATTAGGCGGGTTAGAGGTCAGTGTGCTGAAGAAAAGTTAATCACAAGAATTTAAGTCAAGTATTAGTGTGTCATTTTTGAATAAATTATTAAATACTATTGAATAAAAGTTAAATATAATTCAATAAATTTCTTTAAAAATTTCATAAAATATTACACCAAATTTTTAGTAGTAAAGTGTGTATAATCATTTTATGTTATCACTAAATTAAATTAAGGTTTAGTAACTTTTGTAGTAAATTTTTAGTGTAAAATGCATTTTATTAACAAGCCTGTATAATTATCAACAATTTGTTCATAAATTATTAACGAGAACTGAAAACTTCATTTATCTGAAACAAGTTTCGATTTAAATTTGAATAGATTAAATTAGATACATAAATTTACGTATACACAATTGTGTATATGCACATAATACTTACTACACACATACACACAAACTCATATATATATATATATATATATATATAAGTATTGAGTATTATGATTAAACTTTCATAAATTCACACAAGAAGCTTGAATAAAGCCTTTGAAAATAATTAATAATTATCCTACAAAAATTATTTTAACTAAATAGTTTGTATTGTTATGTTAAGAGAATGAAATAATAACTGTTTTGGTCAGTTGTTGTCAGCGGGAGGGAAAACATCGCGTGTTATATTCTCTACAAGGGTCCAACTAGACACTAAATGACATAGTCATCTATTTTTTGATCATTATTCTGCATTATTAATTTACGTTTTTCCAATGTTTTATTGTTAATTAAAAATACAACAATAATAACTATACAATAAGATATAAGTTTAATTAATTTTAAAATTACAATACAAACTTTAATATTAGAAAAATATATTAACTTAATTTTATTAATACAAAAATTTTATGCATAGATGCATGATGTCTTTACCTTTCATTTGGTATATTTTTTTATAAATCTTATACCTAAATGAGGGAAACCAAAAAATATGGTTGTATCATATAGACCAATCAGCCTGTTAACCACATTAAACAAATTATTTGAAAAACTTCTATTTAAAAGGATTAGGCCAATATTACAAGAGCACCATATCTTACCCAACACTCAGTTTGGATTCCGCAAGAGACACTCTACTATACACCAAGTACGTAGATTGACTGATGCAATAGCCTCAGTATTTGAAAATCGCAAATACTGGTCTATTCCTTGACGCAGCCCAAGCTTTTTATAGGGTGTGACATCATGATGGGCTGCTTTACAAATTGAAAAAAAATTTCCCAGCGCCTCTATATTTAATAATAAAGTCTTACCTTTTTGAAAGGAAATTTACGGTAAGATAAGGCATTGCAAATTCTCCTTACTACAAAATTCAAGCAGGTGTTCTTCAAGGAAGTGACCTGTCTCCCGACCCCTACAATATTTTTACCGCAGATATACCCCAGTCTACTAATACTCTTCTTGCTACATTTACTGACGATACAGTTATACTTTATACTTATAGTAATATTACCGAAGTTGCCCATTATCTACAAACACACGTCAACATCATCGAATCTTGGTTCAGAAACTGGAAAATTAAAATGAATACATATAAATCAAGTCAAGTAACATTTGCCCTCAGATCTGAAAAATGTCCTGATATGAAATGAAATAATACAGTAATTAATACCCATAATGAAACTAAGTACCTAGGCATAATTTTGGACAAACGGCTGACGTGGGGATCTCACCTGAAAGACAAACTGAAAATGGCCAACAGAAGACTTCATCTCTTTCGTCCATTACTAAAATCTAAATTACCTCTCAAACAAAATTACTTATTTATCAGTCAATAATCAGACCAGTCTGGTCTTATGGTATTCAGATATGGGGACCAGCTAAACCATCCAAAATTCGACCAATACAATCCTTTCAAAATATAACATTATTAGTGTTAACAGGTGCGCCATGGTATGTAACAAATAATAACCTACACAAAGATTTAAACATCAAAACTGTTAAAGAACTTTCAATTTTACACTATACTAGATTTCAATCAAAACTTAATACAAATTCAAACCCTTAAATTAGAAAAATGTACACAACTTCAATACCTGACAACCCACCATGAAGTCTCAAACGTAAATGGAACCGAGACCTATTGACTTAACAAATTAACGACAACAATAAAACCTTTAAAACTTTTAATGTGAATCCAATATATATATACTATAGGAAGGGGCAGCCCTTACCAAAAATAAAAAACTAGCTACCAATGGGGCTTATGATAAATTAAGGTATCGAAATACTGAGTGATTCTTTTAATATACTCGATATTCACAAATTTCTCTTAAAATAATAATTATATTGAGAAAATTATTTTAGTGTTTTTTAATTTCATTTATATCTCGATTTAAATTAATTAAAAATGAATCAAAATCGAATTAAATAAATTATTTTAATGATTTATTTAATACTTCCTTCTACCTTATAAAGGTGTCAACTCTTTATTTTTTTAATACTAACATACATATTTAACTAGCTTGTAACGTCGTAAATTCGAAGGTGGACCGTTTATAATTTTTCGTTATGTTCATTTATTTACTTGTGTTTTGAAATTGCCGTTTGAGTGGTGTTGGCTTTTCATTAGCACTTCTGTCTGACAGTTCTAGAGAGCACATTTTTTTGTACTATTACTTTTTTTAATGATGGAATGGAGCCGCTAACGGCGAACGGCCGGGTCTTTTCGGTAAAGCATCCAAACCATCAGATATTTTATTTTATTTATGTGTTGAGAGCAACGTGCTCTCAAGGAAAGAGGATAAACGTTATCCTATTTCCTTTAGTCAACGCTAAGGAGCGAGTGTTCAAACCGCTCCTGGTGTTTTTATTAATTTCCGATTAACATTAACGGATGTATTCAAATACTGTCTGTGAAGTTTGTTATATTATTTAATATTGTATAAATATTTTATTTTATTTTTGTCAGCCTTTCATTGTAGACATGGTTTTTAATAGATTAAATTTTTCTCCATGTTTAACTAAATTTTCTTTTTTAACAATTAAATTAAATTTCCTTATTAACCTTAACTGTAATATTTATTTTTATTGCGTGAGTAGCTTAAGTATTCGCGTGTATTTTATCATTGTTCCTTAATCTAGACACGAGATACGGTATATTTTACATACCAACCAATTACAACTAAAAAAATTATAATAACTATGATAGTTGTGATTTATATACCAAGTGCTATTATCATTTACATTAGATCATTTTTTATTTTATAAGCTAATTAAATATATATGTTAGTATTACAAAATTAAAAGTTGACACCCTTATAAGGTAAAAGGATGAATTAAAAAATAATTAAAAGAATTTTCATAATGTTATATTATTAATTTAAGAGTAATCGAATGGTTAATATTAAAAGAATCCCTTTATATAAAATAATTTAATAACTTTTTTTGATTTCTCCATAAAAGTTACAATATTACATTTTCAATATTAATTTCATATTAAATTTAATTACTATAATAAGAATTTAGTAGTAAATAAAGTAAAAGATAATAGATAAAAGGTTCCTGGGAAAATAATAAGGCGAATGTCAATTTTCATTGTACACTAAGGTTTTTAAATTAAGTTATCAATTCTATTCGATGTATTAGTGAGATAAAATGTTTTTTTTTGTACAATAGATATACTTGAAAGTTTAATTATACTGAATAATGTATTGTGTTGGAATAAAAAATGACTTATACATTTCTGGTGTGGACTAAACTAGATTGTTAAAACAGGTATAATTTCTAGCAGTAAATAAAAATATTTTATGAATAGATACTATGAATTTTTTGAACAATACTTTATTCATAATCATTCTTACTGTGATATGAATAGTAAGAGAGCATTTATATACATATATATAAATATAATTTTAATTTAGTAATAATTTATTATTAGATTCTAGATAAATTTTTTGTACTGCTATTATTTTGAAAAAAAATGAATTTGTTTTTTTAATATTTTTGTGATTTTTGATATTTTTTGAAAAATTAAATGTGCCAAATTTTTTACTCAAGATTTATTTTTACAAAACTTTATATTTTTAATTTCTCAATAAAAATACAGTAAGATATCATTATTAATACTTAATCTCTTGGTTATGCATAAAAACAACGCGAATAAATTGCAAACAATATAAAATTAACATTATTTTTTATAAAATGTTTCATAAAAATGTTCTAAAATATACTTAAAAAATAAAGTTATAAGCTTCTCTTTAACTAAACTTTGTTTTTTAAAACTCAATTTAAAGTGGAATAGCTGAATATGTAATTTATATTTGCTCCTTATCTTATTTAAATAGTGCAACATAACAAGCATTTTTACAATAAGTGTAATAGATCCTAACTTTATTATTCTGGTTTGTACAATATTAAAACAATAACAATAGTTATTAGAAATTTTACCTTGTATGTCGTCGTTTCTAGGATAATACCGCGTAACGTGTCATTTTAAGATTTTTTAGAGTGAAATACATTTTTAAAATATTGGCGCATATCTTTTGACACACAAAATGAAGAAAAATATACTTGATACAAAATGAGACAAAGAAAGAAAAGATAAATCTTGAAATCTCCAAAAAAATTACAAATTTAAAAATCGCTAATTTTCGACATTTTTTCAATTTTTTTTTGCTTAAAACTGTCCTAACTTTTTTAAAAATGACCTAATTAATATATATTTTTTTTTTTGATACCTTAGGTATTTACCTATTGATACAGTCCGCGTCGCTTCGTTATACACGATGCCCCGCGACTCGTGCCACCTTTATCAGCCGTCGCCCTATTTTATGAGTATTTAAATGACCAACACCGCTTGTTATACGCTACGGTGCAAAGTCCAGCAAATGCCGCACGGCCGACGACCACCCGCCACAAATGGTGCGAGAGTCTTCCTCCCGTTGTGAAAGCGACAACGTCGACCAACCGATCCGCACCCGCGCACCATCGCCTACAACGCCTACAAAGTTCTCGAATTTTTATTTTAAATTTATATTGCTACAACTTGGAAAAATGTATGGATCAATATTATTATTTTTTTATATGCCCATTTTTCATCTGATACGCTTTTTTTTTAAATCGGATCATACCCCTTTATTCAAGGGGGGTCAAAAATTTAAACACGCGTATTGAAACTAGGACATTTTCAATTTAATTTTTGATAGTGTTCGAGAAATAGTGACACTTTTATATGTATCTTAAATTAAAACTTTGGTAATATACTTTAATTTGAAAAAAAAAAATTGATCTCTGGATTTGTCTTCAAGGTGACAACGACTACCGTCATTCAAAAATATGCTATTTTTGTATTAAAATTCTGGGTTTTGTATTCTATTTTAATTTAAAATACCTGACAAGGGGAGAATACTGATTTTCATTAATATTATATAGATTAAATTGATATAGTGTAGAAAGTTAAACTAATTAATATTTTTTTGCTTTTTGTTTAATTTGAGAAAAATAGCTTTGAAATTTGAACTAGCTTAAACTGTCATTTTTTTCAGATAACGGAAGTAACGTACGGTTGTCAAGTCAGTAAACCTAGTTTTTATCGCGCTCGGGGTACAAGGTTCCAACCCGCGTATGGCAAGGAATTTTTTGCATTTTTTGCATTTTTTTCTTAATTCTTTTTATGTTAAAATAAATTTTCAACACCTTTGATTTTTATCTCATTTAGAGTCAATAACATCAATAAAGATCAAGGATCCCATCACTGTAGTCACCCCTCGCGAGAAGAAATTTCTTATTCATATAAAAATTATTTTACTATATTTTAGGTTTTAGCTTCAATGCAAAACTATGAAGGTTTTTTTTATTTTCTTTGCTCTAACATTACCTACTTTTTTCAACGATACGTCAAATGATTACAATTAGTTGAAGATATTACCCTCAAAAATTGAAAACAAAATTCTAATCTATCAATTAAACAGTTAATTATCCCACGTTCTCAATACAGACAATTCAAATCATTCATTTTTAATGTTTTCAAAGTATTTATTGACGAATTCAGTTTGATATGATAGGTTACAACTACAAAATTAAATCATTTTACTTTGTAATTCCATAATATATTTACTATATTTGTGTGTGCTATTACTAGATTATAATATTCAAATTTTTTTGGCAACATGTTGGTATATAAATAATTTCTAAAAAAAATGATTATTTTTTCTCCTGAATTAACAATTAATTTTTACAAATATAATCAAATTTTATAATACGCTCAATTGAATAAATGTTTTTGACAACTTTGTTTTGATTAATTCTTTTAGTTAAAGTAAATCATTAAAATTAATTAACTTCTGAATATTTCAATTGTAGAATCTTTTTAAACACCAAAAGTTAGTAGGAAATGATTACTATTATTTCTATTTCAGTAATCTATTACGATATAAATGCAAAAAAATATTGAGCTACTCTGATAAATCTATTTCTATTGTCTCTGAAAGTTCTTCATCTGTTGCTCTAAATTCCATTTCTTGATCTAAAAAAATTTATATAAGACTATGAATGATGTTTTAATTAATATTTTTTTATTTTATATACCTAGATCAATTAGCTCCTTTGGTTTTGGGACAAACGTTTCTTCAGTTATTGAATCATATTTAAATCCCAGTTGGAAATACTTTTCTATAATTTCTGTCTTGATATAATTTTTAATTTTCCTTGTTAAGAATTTGAAAAATATTAATTTTATGCCTTGGTCAATAATAACTTTATATTCTTGATTCCATTCATTCCATAAATAATTCGTATCATAAGGTACAAATGTACAATAGTATAACATTTCTTTTTTTATATTTTTAATGAATGTAAGAAAAAAATTAAACACAGTAACTAATATCCAAGAGTATGTAGATATATCGTCACGTGATAGAGATGTTTCGTTTATGAATTTATGAAGAATATTTGCTATTGTCTCTAATAAAGGACTCATTATGTAGTAATTTTTTTGATTCCTTATAAAAGTAATCCATGGTATGTTATGAAATAAATCTAAAGCGTCCATTGCATTTTTCATCAATGTTGCTGTTGGAACAATAAAAGTGGCTATTAAGTCTATGAGTTCTTCGGTATAAATGCATCCATTTAAGAAATCGTGTTCTCCAAGAATTTTTTCATAACAAATGGTTATCATGTTGATAATAATTGAAAAAAGATTATTCATAACTTTAGCATATGTACATCCAAGATATATAGTCAAGGCTCGTATCTTTTGTATACAGTTAGACTGATTTGTAGGTATTTCAATTAGACTTTTAAGATCATATTTTTTTTTCAAATATTTTATAGAGTACACATCGTTCAAATTTTTCCATCCCGGATGATTTAGTAATTTATCTAATTGTAATATTTTTGTTTTTGTAGTATTGTGTGTTTTAGTATATAAAATCACATAAAATAATAAAAAAATTATCTTGACAATTTTTAATGAAAACATTTAAAAAATAATTATAAATGATGGATTCAAAATTTTTTGAACAAAATATAATTTGAAGTCTCAAAAGACACGTACTCATTCTGTTCTGCATTTAGAAATGATAAAGCTAAAATTTATAAAATATCTGTGATATTATTATAATTTTCTTTAAATAGAATTGTTGCCACATAGATTTTACATTACGTCACATAAAAATTGCGCTACAACTCAATTATATTGTTGAAAAGTTAGAGCTTGGGTTGCTTATTATAATAAAGAAGTTTGATATATTACTAGCATAATAATGTTTTTTATTTACTTTAAGGATATCATTCATAAAAAAGCTGAATAATACTAATGTCACTTGTCATTATTAGTTTTGAAAATGTTTCAGAAATTTTTTGATCTTTATACATATGTTTAATTATTACCTATATGTAAAAACCTATATGTTAATTTCTAATGCTTATAAAATGAAAAAAAAAATTTTGTCCCGACACTTTATCTTCTGCATGTAAACGGCTGCCGTAGTTAAAAAAACGCTAATTTTGTGTTAAAATTTTCGATTTTAAATTTTCAACTTAAAAATGCTATAACTTTTCGAAAAATGTAAGTATCAGCATAAATTTTTTTTTTCTAAATACATTATAAGTACATATTCTAATTGACATACTTTTTATTAAAATTGGACAATTTCCCCTTATATAGGGGGCGTTCAAAACTTGAAACATTGTATAAAAAATAGAACTTTTTCAACTTAACTTTTGAAAATGTTTTGGAAATACTGCATCCACTACACATATATCAAATCAAAGATAATGTCAATTATTATAAAATGAAAAAAAAAATTTGTCCCGACACTTTATCTTCTATGTGCAAATGGCTGCCGAAATTCAACAAATAATCTAATGTTTGTATTAAAAATCACCTTCAATCGGGATGTATTTTGTACTTAAAACTGCCATAACTTTTTCAAATATCTTATGGGGGTAATATATTGACTTTCATGAATATTTTATAATTTAATTGACATAGATTAAAGTTTATAAGACATAAGAAATTAAACCTATTTAAATTTTTTGCTTTTTTAAAGTCGAAAAAACAACTTTTAAATTTGACTTAGCTTGAATTGCTAATTTTATCATGCGCCGAAAGCGACGAACAGTTGCCGAATCGGTAACACTTGTATCTTTTACGCTAAGGTTACGAGGTTCGCATCCGTCTGTGGCTATTAATATTTAGCATTTTTTGAGTTAGAAAAAAATGTTCAAATTATTTGATTTTTATCTCATTAAGATTCAATAACTTCAAAAAATATCATGGATCCCATCACTATTGTCTCTACTCGTGAAAAGAAATTTTTTATTCATGTTAATATTCTCATTTTTATTAATTGACGAATACGACGTTCGTTTACCAAGCCGGTAACACTAATGTTTTTCGTGCTTGAGGTATGAATTTAAAACCCCTAAATGGGAATGGAAACTTTTCTGAATTTTTCTCTTAATTCTTTTTAAGTTAGAAAAATTTTCACATCATTTTATTTTTATCTGATTTAGATTCAATAACTTCAATAAATATCATGGATCCCATCACTATTGTCTCTACTTTAATTCATGTTAATATTATTTTACTATGTGTTTTTTTTGAGGCCGCGATTTATTTTTCCAACACTCACTTAACCTACTCTTTTCAACGATACGTCAAATGATTACAATTCGTATTTAGTTAAAGATATTACCCTAAAAATTAAAAAAAAAAACCCTTAATCAAATAACAAGTAGCTTAACCAGCTTTATCCAGACAAACAATTAAAATCATTCATTTCTAATATTTTTAAAGTATATTGTCGAATTATATTTGATATTATATAATTTTACTTTGAAATTAATTAATTTTTTTACTCTATTTGTGTGTGCTACTAGCGGTCTCTAACATTCCAAATTTTGTCGTAACGAGTTGCTATATAAATCATAAATCTAAAAAAAAAAATGATTTTTAGTTTCACTTGAATTTAATAATGGATGAAATAAAAAAAATAATGTAAATAGTAATTATAAAACTATGTCACGTCTTCACTGTGCCGCGAACTCACTGTGCTGGGTTTTTTTTAGTGTGCCATGCCTTAAGTACGTATGGCGAATTTTTTTTATTAAATTTTTTTTTTTATTTAGGTCACTTAACATGGCAGACGTGTTACAATACCACCTGTCATAATATATTTTTATTTATAGGTTTTATGTTGGGTGATGATTATATACTACTAGTACAATGTGGTGACATAGTGCATTTTATTTCGGGTATCCCAACATCTTGCAAGCTAAGTATAGCTGCCTAAAACCAGTCGCTTACTTGGGGCATATACCCGCCGTTCTTAGCGTTTGGGTTGGGTTGGGTTGGGTTGATTAATAGCTGGTGGTTACCCGAAGACGTTCATCGTGTTCTCTAATTGTAAAAGTGTAGGAGTAATAATTTTTACTTTAATTTTATTTCTTCTTTCTATTGTTCCTTTTAATTTATAGACGAAGTTTTTTGCCTCATGTTAACTTAATTTTTTTTTTATTATTTAATAAAGTCCCTTTCATTTAAATTAACCATCATTTTATTTTTTTTGCGTGTTCCATATTTATTGGGATCGTGTATTTTGTATTTTTATCCTTTCTAAAATCAATTCCCCAAGTTTATAAGATACGGGCAACGGTCTTGTATAAGGTCGTCCTTGATCATCATGGTTATGTGACAACTGTCACGAGGTTTTGGTGTACATCAACTATCAACGGCTCAACAGACATCAAATACAACCTTCATTACTTTTTTATTTTTTTTATCTTAAATTGCTTTCAATTTACAATATATTTTTTTTAAATCCTACTGTGGTCCGACAATACATTATCTCGTCCAATGGGTTGGCGACCCTCGTTTTGTATTTTCAATGCGCCATAAAAGTTTGCGGATTATATTAGGATAATATTATATTAGGTTGTGGCCGATTAATCCAATTTTTTTTATGATATTTGTAACCTTTCAACTTTGATCAGTTGTTAAATTTTGAGAAATCTCAAAATCCACTTTACTAATCCAACCCAACATAGTAGAATACCCTGAGCGAATAATGGAGGAAATTATGATACAAATTAAAATCATGAGACATATGGTGAAGATAAAATAACAGGAAAATTATTGAATACAACGAATGGTGAGGTAACTAAATATATACACCGGTTGATTTTTCTAATATGGCAAAAATTAGTGATACCAAAAGAATGAAAGACGGCGTTGATGTATTCCATTTACAAGAAAAGAGACAGACAGTTATATAATAATTACCAAAAAAACAGTATTGCTTTATTTTGCCTTACTGTTTACTTGATAGAATCAAGCCATGACATAGGGAATATTAGGCTGGGTTCAAACAAAACCGATCCACCATTGATGAAATATTCATCCTACGACAAGTACTAAAAAAAATGTTGGAATACGACAGGGGTATCCATTTGTTGTTTATTGACTTCAGAAAAGCTTATGACTCAATACATAGAGAATCCTTGAATAGTATTCTAAAGGAATTTGGAAAGACCCAAAAGTTAATAAGCCTCATAATAGTTTATTTTAACCTCATTAAAGTAAGGCATTCAACTTCAAATGTCATACAAGTGACAATAGGGTTAAGACAATGTAATGCTTCAACTCATATCTTATTCAAAATAGTCCTGGAAAAAGTAGTTAGGCAAATAGGAATGGACAATGGAAGAATTAGAATAGAATACATAAATATTGGATTATTAGCATACGTGGACGATAATCCTGTTGGCAGAAAATAATGAATGACTCAAAAGGCAAACTGAAAAACTGATGGAAGTTGCAAAGCGTACAGGAGTGGAGCTAATATAGATAAAAAGAGTACATGATGTTCAAAAAAAAGTCCTTTTAAATAATCAAAATAGATGATTGGAGGTTGAAGATCATAGGTTTAAAAGAGTACAACAATTCAAATACCTAGGTGCCGCCATATTAACACAATAGAACAAAATAAATAGTGAAGGGGAGGTGAAAATTCAAGCCAATAATAAGTGTTACTTCGGCTAACAAAATTATTGTAATCTAGAACACCTTAAACACATTTAAAAATATAAATATATGATATTTATAAAACTAGTAGCAATTTATGGGTCGGTAATACAAACTTTACGGAAGATAGATGAAAATTCACTGGTCATTTTCGAAAGAAAAGTTCTTTGAAAAATATATGATCCATGTAAATATATAATTACTGGAGAATGGAGAATCCAGAAAAACAGGGAAATAAAAGAATTATATAAAAATCAGAGTATTGTGGAGGACATTCCTAAGAGACAACTAAACTGGGAGATCATGCATGGCGTAGGATTGATGCTGAGAACAGTGCTAAGAAGTGCATACCAAAGAAAAATATTAATGGGACGCTAAAGATTAAGATGGGAATATAAGGCAAAGAGGACGTAAAATAAGTATAGCCAGGAGGGGTTTGAAGGTAATATCGTTAGAAAGTGAAAACTGGAGACAATTTTTTCGGACAGTATGGTTTTAAAGGTCAAAAAATCGTGACAAAGAAGAAGATATTTATTTTTTGTGAGCCAATGACTATAGTCTTCCTTCATCATAAAATTAAGTCTATTTAAATTCTCCCTTATTAATCACCCAGTAAGCGCGATATTGTCTCCCGCCTCCGTTATAATATTATGATATACACATGATATCATTAATATCACTATATGCTAATTAAAATTTTAATTTACATATTAAATGCCATGATATGTGTTAAAATATAACAAAATGCTATACATATACTTTTAAGTGTTTAAAAAATATACCAATGTAATTTTGTATAAAAAGCATAAATTAATTATATAAAACAAATAGAAAATATTAAACAATATGTAATAGTAACATATAAGAAATGTAGGGTAATAATTAATGTACAAAATAGTATGTAACAAACAATAGAACATTATGAAATGTATATCATTATTAACATAAATGTAATAAATGACATTTAATAAATTATTATAAACGATTAATAAAGAAATAATGGTAGCGTCGATGATTACTTTTTGCTTTTGAAAACACCATCAATATTAATTTAAAAAAAGAATGATAGTAATTTTGACTATAATGTTTTTAAAATATAATAAACATGTAATAAAAATATGTATTGTTTTTTTCATGTGCATGGACTTAAAAAAAAAATTTAAATACTTATAAAAATTATTTGAGTAGTATTCCAAATATATAAAAATAAAAGTGTTACGGACAGTGTAAATTACTTAAAAGAATCTGTTGAGGCCAGGGGTACTAAATATTATAGAGCGTACCCGAACCGGCAAATTGCACCAATATCGATCAGGCTGTGTATTGTGATGTATGTAAAAAAAGTAGTTGATAAAAACTACTTAATTGAGCGGATTATAAATTTTGATTATAATAGTAAAAATCGATTGTTAAAATCAGGTGAAACTAAATATAATTTTTTTTTAGATTTGTAATTTATATAGCAACATGTTACCAAAAAATTTGGGATATTAACCATCTATAATATTCCAAAAATTTGGAATGTTATAGACTATTAGTTACACGCACAAATAGAATGAAATAATTAATAAATTACAAAGTAAAATTATTTACTTTTGCAGTTAAATACTTTTATCATATCAAATCTAATTTGACAATAAATACTTTAAAAATATTAGAAATGAATGATTTTAATTGTTTGTCTGGATAAAGCTGGTTAAGCTACTTGTTATTTGATTAAGTGTTTTTTTTTTAATTTTTAGGGTAATATCTTCAACTAAATACGAATTGTAATCATTTGACGTATCGTTGAAAAGAGTAGGTTAAGTGAGTGTTGGAAAAATAAATCGCGGCCTCAAAAAAAACACATAGTAAAATAATATTAACATGAATAAAAAATTTCTTTTCACGAGTAGAGACAATAGTGATGGGATCCATGATATTTATTGAAGTTATTGAATCTAAATCAGATAAAAATTAAATGATGTGAAAATTTTTCTAACTTAAAAAGAATTAAGAGAAAAATTCAGAAAAGTTTCCATTCCAATTTAGGGGTTTTAAATTCATACCTCAAGCACGAAAAACATTAGTGTTACCGGCTTGGTAAACGAACGTCGTATTCGTCAATTAATAAAAATGAGAATTTAAGCCAGTTCATTTTTTAAATTATTTTATTTTTATTTAAAAGAAGTAAAAAAATTTAAATAAGTATAACTTTATATGCTATGTCAATTAGATTTATATAATATTTATAAAAATCAGTGTACTCCCCTTGTAAGATATTTTAAAATAAAATAAAACACAAAACCGAGAATTATAACAAAAAATTGCAAATTTTTGAATACGCTAGATATTTTCATCATGAAGACAATCTGAAGTTCGAAATTTTATTTTCCATATTAAAGTATATTAAATAAGCTTTATTTTAAGATATAAAAGTTCCAGTATTCCCGGAACACTTTCAAAAATTTAGTTGAACAAGTCCAAATTCCTATACGCATGTTTAAAGTTTTGACCATCCTTGTATGAATGTAAATGACATATAACTAACGATAAGGAGTTATTTCTTCAGAAGGCGATATTATTTAAATAAAAAACTTCAACAAAATGGTAATATTAAAATGTGGAATTGAAAGAGCGAGGTCATTAAATATGAAAATCAATAAAGAATAATGTGCATTATATATTTACTAAGTAGAAATATAATTAGTAGAAGAGTACTAGTTGATCAAGAAAATAATGAGGTAGTTTACACAATGAAAGAATATGAGGTTAGTTATCTAAAGAGCGTTTAGATGAGTTAGTTAGAGAAACAAAGGCAGACGTGGTGACAAATAAAGTAATGATAAATTATCAATATGGTTGGTAAGACGTTAATAAAAAAAGTTAACAAAGCCAAGAACTTATTCATTATTTTAATCTAATATGTGAAATAATAGTAAACGATATTATTGTTTATTTTGAAACTAGAGAAGTTATACTGTGAGTACATAGGAAATTAGTTGTGGAATTATTGCAAGAAACACACATTAG